TTATTTCCTTTAACTGGATTCACTTCTGATCCCTTGGTCACCTTCTACAGTGCCCTGGATCAGGACCTGCTTAAATATTGAATAAGTTCCCATGGTTTCTTTCTGAGAAACCCTGCTTATTGAATCGAGAGCCCATTTCTCTTTCTCATCCAGGATTGGGTAGACTATTGGGAAAAGTTCTTACAAATATTTCCTGGGAACTGGATTTTTAAAACAAGTGCCTGTGGGAAAATACTCTTCAAGTACTGAGGGGCTCTGTTTTTTGTTTTTTTTTTTTTTTTTTTTTTTTTTCCCTCAAACTCCTTGGGGAAAGAAAGTCTTACAGGTCAAATCTTTTTTACAAGTAAGAACCACTGGACTATCCAAATATGTGGTATGGATCAGAATTTGGTTTCATTGACTGTAGCTTGAATTAGATTAGACATAAACAGGGCTGTGGAGGACCCTTTCCTTAAAGAGATATTTTCATTGTTAAGGTATTTATTGTAGAGAACTTATCTGAGAACTCTAAACTAAACAGAGAACTCTTCTAGCTAATGTTTTTACCAGGCTGATTCAGACTGGGGAGCAGCAGTGGGGGAACTGTGGACATAGTCTGCTGGCTGGCAGTCAAGGCAGAGGAAAGAAAACACAGGCAAAGTTCTGTGTGAAATGTGAATCTGAGTCACAGAGGAAGAGGAAGAAAATAGCATGTGTCATTCTGAAAAAGCTCCTCTTAGGGCAGTTTCTTTTGGCTCTAACCACTGCCTCTCCCCGGGAGAGCATCACAGGATCTCACTAAGTTCTTCCTGCTGCTTTTTCAGACTTAAAAGGAAACCACCTTCGGGCAAATTCCCTCTTCCTCCCAAGAAAGAAAATAAAAGGAAATTGAGTCCTAGTCTCTGAAGAACCTGGGTCAGGTTTTGATTAACCCAGGACTGTGCCCTGCTGGCAGGGGCTGGGAATGTTTGCAGTCACAGCTACGGTGGTGGTGGGGGGCTCCTCTGCTGCCCCTGGGCATGAGCGGATAGCTGTGTTCTTTAAAGTTTCCTAAATCTCCACCATTGGCATCCCCAGAACTCTAGTCAGTATGTCTACTTTTGTAGGCCTTGCCTCTCAGCTTGGAGAGTTTCCGGAACAACTTCTTGTCATTCTCAAGGTTTTTCTTTCCAGCTTTTTCTAGGGTCAACCCCTGTAGACTTTCCTCAATGTATTCATTTTTCTAAACAAATTCTTTCTCTTTCCATTTCTGCATTTATCTCTGGTGATAGAATTATTCTGTAGTAACTGTCAATCAATAACACTAAATAAATGAAATTCATTTAAAATTTTTAGTTTTATTGAAATATAATTTATATACCATAAAATTCACCCATTGTGCAACCACTGGGTACACATTACCGCAATCTAATTTTAGAACATTTCCAAAACCCCAGAAAGTTCTCTCATGAGTATTTGCCATCGATCCTCACTTTCACCTCTAGTTTAAGGTGACTGCTGATCTCACTCTGTCTCTACAGCTTTAACTTTTTTGCCATTTCACATAAATGGAAACATAAAATATGTAATGTTTTGTGACATTTTTTTCTACTTAGCACATTTTTGAGGTTCAACAATGAAGCATGTATCAGTACTCTAGTTATACGTCCTTTATCAGGTATATAATTTACATAATTTTCTCTCAGTCTTAGTCTTTTCAATTTGTTAAAAATATCTTTTGAAGCATAAAAAATTTCATTTGGAGGAAATCTAACTTGTCAAATTTTCCCTTTGTGGATTAGGCTTTTTATGTCATATTAAAAACTCTGCCTAGCACAAGGTCTTAAAGATTTTGTTTTGTTTTCCTCTAAAACTTTAATACTTTTACTTCAAATAATTAGAACTAAGATCTATTTTAAGTTAATTTTTGTACGTGGTGTGAGGTGAAGGTCTTTTTTTTTTTTGCACATGGATATGAAATTGTCCCAGCCTCATTGGTTGTAAAGATATCCTTTCCCTATTGAACTATTTTGGAAACTTCATTGAAAATCAATTGAGGGCCTCCCTGGTGGTGCAGCGGTTGGGTTGAGCGCTGGGTTGCGAAGCTGCCGGTACCTCTGCAGCACCACTTTGATCCCCAGCCGCCTGGTGAGGGTCCTACATGGCGCGCAGACTTCTCCTTCCACCCATTACTCCCCTCAGCAGTGTACTTCGTCTGTCTGCCTGCTCTGCTCTCGCCTCTGGCTCTGGTGAATTCTCTCACCCTCCCGCGCTTCTGACTATACCCAGTGCTTGTATAAATAAATAAATAAATAAATAAATAAATAAATAAATAAATAAATCTTTAAAAAAGAAAATCAATTGACCATAAGTATAAGAATTTATTACTGACTCTCAGATCTGTTCTTTTAATGTATGTATAGACCCATCTTTATACCAACACTATACTGTCTTGACGACTGTGAATTTATAGTAACTTTTGAAATTGGTTATGATAAGTCACATAGTTGTTTTTATATTTCATATAAATTTAGGATCAGCTTGTCCATTTCTACCCAAAAAAGGTAGTTGCATTTTGTATCAAATATATAGATTGATTTGGAGAGACTAACAGTATTAACAAGACTGATTTGTTCAATTCCCATTTACTTAGATATTCTACCTATCAGCAGAAGCAAACACTGATAAAATTGAAAGGAGAAATAGACAATACTACAATAATAATTAGAGATTCAAATATCCACTTTCAATAATGAAAACAATATAGAAAGTCAATAATGAAATAGAAGCTTTGAATAACACATAAATCAATTAGAACTAACAGACATACATACCAGCAAGATAGAATACACATTTTTCTCAAGTGTGAAAATACTCTCCAGAATAGAGTACATGTTATTCCAAAACACAAGTCTTAATACATTAATACAAAGGTTGAAACCACACATACATACAATATATCTTTCTGACCACAATGGAATGTATTAGATTCAAAAACAGAAGGAAAATTGGAAATGTGTAGAAATAAAACATACTCTTTTTTTTTTTTAAAGATTTATTTATTTATTTATACAAGCACTGGGTACAATCAGAAGCGCGGGAGGGTCAGAGAATTCACCAGAGCCAAAGGGGAGAGCAGAACAGGCAGACTGACTAAGTACACTGCTGAGGGGAGCAGTGGGCGGCAGGAGAGGTCTGCGGGCCATGTGGGACCCTCACCAGCAGCCAGGGATCGAACCGGCGCTGCAGAAGCTGTGGCAGCTTCGTAACCCAGTGCTCAACCACTGCGCCACTGGGGAGGCCCAATAAAACATACTCTTAACCAATAAAAAGAATAAATCACAAAGAAGATAAGCAACAATTGTCCTAGTTTATTATTACTACTGTGCCTAATTTGTAATTAAGTTTTATCATAGGTATGCATATATACATAAGTAAGTAGACAGTATATTTTGGGTTTGGTACTATCTGTAGCTTCAGACATCTATTAGGGGGTTCTTGGAATATATTCCCTGAGGATAAGGTGAACTACTGTATATTGATATTCTTTTTTTTTTTTTTAAAGATTTATTTATTTATTATTTATGCAAGAACTGGGATACAGGTCAGAGGTGCGGGAGGGTGAAAGAATTCACCAGAGACAGAATGGGGAGCAGAACAGGCAGATGGACCAAAGACACTGCTGAGGGGAGCAGTGGGTGAGGCAGGAGAGGTCTGCCGCGCCATGTGGGTTTCTCCCTGGACAGCCGGAAATCGAATCCACACTGCAGAGGCTGCAGACAGCTTCACAGCATGGTACTCACCCACTGTGTCACTGGCGAGGCCCTGTATATTGATATTTTTATTTATTCACTCTGAGGCACTGTTTGTTTTTCATTTTTGTTCTGTTTTTCATTTTGAATCATTTCTATTGATCTACCTTCAAGTTCACTGATTATTTCTTTTGCCTTCTTAATTCTCTTTTAGAGAATTTTCAATTAATATATTTCAGTTTCTTAATTACCTTTTGGTTATTTTTATAGGTTATATCTCTATTGAAATTATCTATTTGCTAAGTGATTATTTTAATGTTTTGATTTTTCAAAATGTGACTACCTTTAGTCCTTCGAACATGTTTTTTCTTTTTTAAATATTTAATTATTTATTCATGCATACAAGAACTGGGGTACAGGCCAGAGGTATGGGGGTGGGTGAGAGGATTCACCAGAGACAGAATGGGAAACAGAACAGGTGGATTTACTGAAATACACCGCTGAGGGGAGCAGCAGGCAAGTCAGGAGAGATCTGCTGCGCCATGTGGGTCAGCTTCTTGGCTGGTGATAGAAATCATGCTGCAGTGGCTGCAGATTGTTTCATAGTGCTGCATCTTAACCCCTTGTGTCACCAGGGAGGCCCCAAACATGTTTTTAATAAGTACTTTACAGGGGCCTCCCCGGTGGCGCAGCGGTTGAGTGCTGGGTTGTGAAGCTGCCCGGAGCCTCTGCAGCGCTGGTTCAATCCCCGTCTGCTCCCCGGCCACAGGAGGAGGGTCCCACATGGTGCGCAGACCTCCCCTGCCGCCCGCTGCTCCCCTCAGCAGTGTACTTCGGTCCTTCTGCCTGCTCTGCTCCCCGCTCTGGCTCTGGTGAATTCTCTCACCCTCCTGTGCTTCTGACTGTACCCAGTGCTTGTATAAATAAATAAATAAATCTTTTTAAAAAAAGTACTTTACATTCTTTCTCTGCAAAGACAACATCTGAGCTTACGCAGAGATTCTATTTACTGCTTTCCCCCCCTGAGTATAGGCCAAACTTGCTTGCTATTTTGCAATGCTCATAATTTTGATATTGAAAACTGGACATTTTAAATAAAATTCAGTAGCAAATCTAGTTTGTGATTTCCACTCCCATGATAATTTGTTGTTACTGTTTTTGTTTGTTTAATAACTTGCCTGGACTAAATTTGTGGATCTCTCTACCTCCCACTGTGTTCTCACTGATGACTCTGACTTCCTAGGGGTTCATCCTTGTGTCTGTGGAGCTCGGTGGTCAGCCTTGATTGGTCAGAAGTTGTGCTCCGATAACACACAGAGCCAGTAAGTCTTCTATTCTCTGATAATAGATATATGTATGGTTTGGAAAGCACTTTTGCATTTTAGACAAGTTTTCAGGTCTGTGTTACTTTTACTTTCCAATGGGCCCTGTTGTGTATCCTTTCTGTGTGATGCACCTTCTGGTTGGCCAGAGATCGATGGAGAGTCACTGTGTATTTCTAGATCTCTTTTAAATAACTGACTAGTTCTTGATCCATTGATGTATAAAGAAAAATACACAGAGTAATCCTAATTATACAATCTTAGGCAACCCCTTTTTTTTATATTCCCCATACAATTGCAACCCCCTGATTTTGACCCCAATCCCTCCTTTCCCCCTCCCGCCCCCCTTAGACAATCACTTTTAACATTTGGGTATACATGCTTCCAGATATTTTTTTATGCACACCCTCCTCTCTACCATACTCTTCATTTAAGAAGCATAAAATGAATGCTTATTAAGTATCAGTATAGTGTCAGGTGCTATTTTCAACTAAATGAGAGCTATCTTTTCTTTCAACAGAAGAAGAAACAGTGGAAATCCAGTTCTAGAGGGATTAATTTAATAGGCTCAATCCTTGTAATAGTATGTCATTCTGAGTGAAATTACCTGGGACAGAAGTGGAGATGGGAAAAGGAGAAAGAAGAGCCCATATTTAAGGGGGGAAAATGCACAGTCTAAAATTATAAGCTTAAGAGAGAATATTCCCATCCCTTTAATTTCAGGGCAGGACTTGGAGTCAGAGTCTAAGAACAAGTCTAAGGCAATGTATTCACTATCAATGCCAGGAAAGTACAGGGGAATGTACAGGCTCAAAGCCTACATTTAGGCCACAATTTCAATTCTTACCCCTAAGACTTTGTGATCTCTATCAAGTGGTTTCCTCATTCTAAATCTCAGTATCCTTTTTCTACAAAATGAAAGGATCATTAAAAGAATCATACAACATGACCAGGTGGGATTTATTCTATGGATATAAGGATGGTTTGACATGTGCAAATCAATCAATGCAATTCACCATATCAACAAAAAGAAAGATAAAAATCACATGGTCATATCAATAGATGCAGAGAAAGTATTTGACAAAATTCAACATCCATTTATGATAAAAACTCTAAATAAAATGGGGATAGAAGGAACATACCTTGTCACAATGAAGACCTTATCTGACAAACCACAGCTGACATCATACCTAATGGTGAAATATTGAAAGTTTCCCCTCTAAGATTAGGTACAATACAAGGATGTCGACTTTTACCACTCCTGTTGAACATAGTAATGGAAGTCCCAGCTAGAGTAATTAGGCAAGAGAAAGATTCAAAAGTAATTAAAATTGGAAAACAAGAAATAAAACTATCACTATTTGCAGTTGATATAATAACATACATAAAACCAAAAGACATGACTACAAAATTATTTCAAACATTAAATCAGTACAGTAGAGTGGCAGTGTACACAATCAATGTACAAAAACCCATTCTCTTGGGCCTCCCTGGAGGCACAAGGGGTTAAGATGCAGCACTATTAAGCTATTGGCAGCCACTGCAGCACCAGTTCAATCTCAGGCCAGGGAGGTGACCCACATGGTGCAGCGGACCTCTCCTGTCTCTCCCGCTGCTCCACTCAGCAGTGTACTTCAATCAATCTGCCTGTTCTGTTCCCCACTCTGTCTCTGGTTAATCCTCTCACCCCCACCGCACCTCTGGCCTGTACCCCAGTTCTTGTGTGCATAAATAAATCTTTTAAAAACAACAACCAGGGCCTCCCTGGTGGCACAGCAGTTGAGCACTGGGTTGCGAAGCTTCCCGCAGCTTCTGCAGTGCTGGTTTGATTCCCGGCTGCTCCCCGGCCACTGGAGGAGGGTCCCACATGGCACGCAGACCTCTCCTGCTGCCCCCTGCTTCCCTCAGCAGTGTTCCTCGGTCCTTCTGCCTGCTCTGCTCCCCACTCTGGCTCTGGTGAATTCTCTCACCCTTCCGCACTTCTGACTGTACCCAGTGCTTGTATAAATAATAAATAAAAATAAATCTTAAAAAAAAAAAATAAAACCAACAACCATTCTCTTCCTATAGGCCAACAATCAGAAAAGAAAGAAATCAAGAAAATAATCCCATTTACAATCACATAAAAATAATTAAGTATCTAGGAATAAACTTAACAAAGGAGGTGAAAGAACTGTACAACAAAACTATGAAAAATTATTCAAAGAAATAGAGGAAGACACACAAAAATGGAAAGACAGTCTTTGCTCTTTGATTGTAAGAATGGCCATCTTACCCAAAACAATATATATTTTCAGTGCAATCCCTATCAAAGTTGCAATGTCATTCTTCAAAGAAATAGAGAAAACATTACTGAAATTTACATGGAACCATAAAAGAGCCCAAATAACTAAACCAATCCCGATAAAAAAGAACAGAGGTATCACACTCCCAGACTTCAAATTATACCACAAAGACAGAGTTATCAAAACAGTATAGTATTAGAATATAAATAGATAGATCTATGGAATGGAAATGAGAGTCCAGAAATAAACATATATTTATATGGACAGTAAATTTATTTATTTATTATTTATTTAAAGATTTATGTATTTATGCATACAAGAGCTGTGGTACAGACCAGAGATGTGGGGGGTGAGAGGATTCAGCAGAGACAGTGGGGAACAGAACAGGCAGACTGACTGAAATACACTGCTGAGGGGAGCAGTGGGCGAGGCAGGAGAGGTCTATTGCACCATGTGGGTTGCTCCCTGGCTTGCTGGGGATTGAACTTGTGCTGCAGAGGTTTTGGATTGCTTCATAGTGCGACGTTTAACCCTTTGCGCCACCAGGGAGGCCCTGGACAGTAAATTTATAACAAAGGAGCCAAGAATATACAATGGAGAAAGGAATATCTCTTCAACAAATGGTGTTGGGAAAACTGGACATTTACAAGCCAAAGAATGAAAGTAGATCACTATCTTACACCATACACAAAATTAATTCAAATGGACTGAAGATTTGAATATAAGACCTGAAATCATAATATACATAGAAGAAAACATAGGCAAAACACTTCCCAACATTGGCGTCAGTGATATTTTTGGGGACTCATCTCCAACGACAATGGAAACAAAAGCAAAAATGTACAAATGGGACTATATAAAACTAAAAAGTTTCTGCACAGTGAAACTATCATTAAAACTACAAGACACCCTACCGAGTAAGAGAAAATATTTGCACAACATACAGCCAACTAGAGGCTAATATCCAAGATCTACAAGGAACTCTTATAACTCAGTAACAAGAAAATAAAGAGCCCAATCAATATTGTGCAGAAGAGCTAAATAGTCATGTCTCCAAAGTATTCCCTTCTTCAGCCAATGGAATTCAATCATTTAACCTGTGAGATGCTTTGGTGGGTTTTTAATTTCTATATTGAGAAGTAAAAACAAAAAAACTTTGGGTTTTAAAGCTTTTTATGTCTACATTTACAATATTCAATTCCCCTCTAAACTATGGTTGACTGATTTTAAAATGATGTCTCACTTTAAATAATGGTATTTGGAAAAGTTTTTTTTGCATAAGAGAACATTGAGTAAATTAACATCTCTAAAGCCAAGGGATAGGAGCTTTTGACATACCGTTTCTTCTTACAGACAGTTTCACCCAGATTCTTCCCCATTCCTGAGCCAGGGAGACTCTTATGATCTAAATGTCAGTATCATCTTTTTCAGCATCTTTAAATGTTTAACTATTGAGGAGGTAAGGTAAGCCTTCTAATTTCCTTTTTGTAAGTTAACCAAAGATATTGAAATTTTTTAAATGTGAAAAAAATTATTTTAGAACAAAATATTACATTCTAAAAGGTCAACAGTTTTAGATAAAATGTAAACACTTAGGGAAGATTTCAATAAATTAAAAAATGTTCTCACAAAAGAAGTCAAAATGGATTTCCCCCTGTGTTTCTGCATAGATATCAACACAATTTCAGGATTAAAAATTTTAATTAAAAAATTAAAAAAAAGGGCCTCCCCGTGGCACAGCGGTTGAGCGCTGGGTTGCGAAGCTGCCCGCAGCCTCTGCAGCGCCGGTTCGATCCCCGGCTGATCCCCAGCTGCTTCCAGGCCACCAGAGGAGGGACCCACATGACGCGCAGACCTCTCCTGCCGCCCGCTGCTCCCCTCAGCAGTGTACTTCAGTCCTTCTGCCTGCTCTGCTCCCCGCTCTGGCTCTGGTGAATTCTCTCACCCTCCCGTGCTTCTGACTGTACCCAGTGCTTGTATAAATAAATAAATAAATAAATCTTTTAAAAAAAAAAAATTAAAAAAAAAACCTCTATATTAGGTTACAGAGATGAGAGCAGGCTTAAAGAGAAGATGGCCAGTTAGAGCACACTAGAAATATTGAGGACAAACCCAATTCATCTCTGAAAACGCTCATACTTATATTCTAAACCTGCAAATTTAGAAAATTCTAGAAAACACAAGAATATGCAAGTGCACATTTCACCAGCCTGCAAAGTGCTTGCAAGTCATTTATCCTCTTGAAAAGTCTACACTCCAGAGAAGGTGACGTGAACAGTAAATGACATTTCAATAATATTACAATATAATTTTGACTTGGTGCATCCCTACAAAAGGGTCTCCAAGACTCTCAGAAATCACCAGATCACGTTTTGAAAACTACTGTGTTAGAGTCTGTTTTATTTTATTTTATATATTTCTTACATCATATTTCATTTTTGCACAATGTATGCATCTTCATTTTGGTTATATTCCCCATACAATTCCCACCCCCCTTATTTTGACCCTAATACCTCTTTCCTCCACCCCCTAGTGTGTCTCTGGTTTATAGTTGCTTGTTGATTTTAATTTTTTCTTTATTAGTCTTTTTCCTGGTCCCTTATTTAGGTTTTCTAAATTCCTGCTATGAGTGAGAAGTTGCAACAACAAATGTTGGCGAGGTTGTAGAGAAAAAGGAACTCTTCTGCACTGTTGGTGGGAGTGCAAACTGGTCCAACCACTATGGAAAGCTGTGTGGAGGTTCCTCAACCTACTACAGATAGAGCTTCCATATGATCCAGCAATTCCACTCCTAGGTATTTACCCAAAGGACACAGACACATTAATTCAAAAGGGCACCTGCACCCCTATGTTTAGCAGCACTGTTTACAATAGCTAAGCTATGGAAACAACCCAAATGCCCCAAAATAGATGACTGGATCAAGAAGATGTGGTACATATATACCATGGAATATTACTCAGCAATCAAAAAAGATAAACTCATTTCATTTGCAGCAACATGGATGGAGCAGGAAGGGATCATGCTCAGTGAAATGAGCCAGAAAGAAAAAGGAAAATGCTGGAGTCTGTTTTAGGTAATAGCAATGGATTAGATCTGAGCCCTATCGAGAGACGCCTACTGTGATCACTTCCAAAATGGAAAGAATGCAGTGTCGTGGAGGGGCAGACAGCGAGGGCTCTCCTTGCTGGCCAGGTAAGGGACATCGGCCTCAGAGGAGTGAGTGACCTTTACCCCGCGACCTGCCGACTGCGGAGGGGAGTCACTTCCCTCCCTGTGCGGCCCCGACCCCAGGAATCGGACCGGGCGGGAAGCGATAGTGGCCTGAACCCGCACTTAGACTCCGCGACACAGGCCGCCGCGTCGCCTCTGACCCCCGGCCCCCCGGGGTCCCCGGCCCGGCCGGGCGGGGCGAAGTGCCGGAGGGACGGGTCAGAGCGGCTTCCTCAGGAAGACTCGGAGCCTCGGGGGACCGCGGGGTGTTCTCCGAGACCCGAGGAGTCGGGGTCCCCTCTAGGCGCCAGCGGCTGCTCGCGGGCGGGGCGAGCGGCCCTTGTGGCGCGGACTCGCGCGCCCCCCGGAGGCCCCTGCCGGCAGCGCCGCTGTGCGTGTCCGCGGGCGCCAATAAAGCTTTCGCGTTCAAACAAACAGGAAGCGCCTACGGAGGCCGGGCGGCGACCGGGCAGGGCCGGGCATGAGGCCGGGCGGCGGCCGGGGCGCGGGCGGCGATGAGCGACATCGTGGAGAAGACGCTGACGGCGCTGCCGGGACTGTTCCTGCAGACCCAGCCCGCCGGCGGGGCGGCGGCCGCCAAGACGTCCTTTTCCTCGCGTTTGGGCAGCCTCGTCCGCGGCATCACGCGCTCACCTCCAAGCACGTAGGTGCCAGCCGGGCGGGGAGGTCAGGGGCGCCGAGGAGGCCCCGGCCCAGGCGGGCCCAGGGCGGCGGGCGGGCGCCGGGGCCTCCCGGGGGCGCGGGGGCCGAGTGTGTCGCTGCGTCCCGAAGTCTGTCTGGAAGCCGCACTCGCCTGCGCCGACCCACAGCCGCGAGGCCGGGTTTCCACAGTTGGCCCTGGCCCTGACTCATTATGATCTGGGGCAAATCCCAGATCTCCCAACTTCCATGTGCTTCCTGGACGCGGGAGTGGGAACACGCCGGACGCGTTTCATGGGTTGTGTCGGGGGTGAGGCGTCAAGCGTGTGTGTAAATACCAGGGGTGATGCAAGGGTTTGCGTGATTCACCCATGAAGTTTCTTTCCTTACTCGTTTTCCTGCTCTCTTCCAGTCCCGTCAGTCAGTTACTAGATGTCACACTCAGACCCTGTCATCGTAATCTGTTGACTGTCTTTGGGGAGCTTGAATTCTTAGCTTAGACCATTGGGTTGAGCAAAGAAAAAATATCATTCTTCCAAAACGTAAAATTTGCTGAGTAAGTCTCTGCCTCAGGATGGACTTGGGAAAAGAGCAATTATGATAGAAGTTATGGTCCCACAGACTTTTGGTGGCTGCATTAATTGTGTAAAATACTGACTGCAAGTTGCAAAGAGTGTATCTCAAAGAGATCACGTGTTATATTGTACTTTATTATGAAGAGATGTGTGCGGAAAGTACAAGTGCCACACTGGTGTTTTTGTTATTCTCTGTGTGAGAGAGGTAGGAAGTGAGGGAAAGGATATGAAGAATAAGGAAGAAAATACAGGGCAGGGAATATGGAGAAAATTATAGCACAGGCTAAAAGAAGATTGATTCTGTTTCTGTGTTCTTAGCCTATTTCCCTATTCCATGAAGACTTTTTACTTCTAAGGTGCAGGTATGGGCTCTTATCAAGGGCAGATACAGGAAGAATTTATTTTCTACTCTCTCTCCACTGTTCTTTTTTTAAAAATCACTTTCTGCTAAAGAGTCCTTGAGAAGAGAGGAGAGAGTAAAGAAAAGAGAAATGATGGGTTAGCTTGGAAATACTCATTCTTTCCAGTGATGACTCTGAGGGTTGGAAAAAGGCCTTAAAGGCATATCTTAAGCACATAATTTCTGTAACTTTTAAAATGTTTGTTTAATTGAAGGTATTATAAATTACATTTTCCCTTAAAAAACTCTGTTATATTTGTCTTTTCAAAAGACAGTTATTAAAACATTTAATTTTCACTTTTTCAGGAGGAAGAGAAATTAATCCAGCAGGAATTGAGTAATCTGAAAGCCATGGTTTCTGCTCCTTCTACAACGCTGGTAAGTTTTTGTAGTCAATGCCAGCGCATATTGAATTGGAAATCTGGTCCACTATGGACTCATGAGAGGTATGGAATTGGTTGCTAAAATCTAATTTATCATAGTCAAAAAAACTCACTGGTGGTAGCAATTCAAACATTAACTTCAGCCTTTTATTATTTACTGACTGCACTGGATCAAGACTTGTTTGACTGATGTCAAGTTAGTGCCCATGTCGTGCTGACTGGATGAATGCGGTGATGGTCCGGGACCCCAGTGCTCATCTTAACTGTTTTAATGTTGATACTGGGAAAAGGATAGACTATATCATTTAAAATTGTATTTTCAGACCTGAGTTGATATATTGTAGCTGTAGCTGTTTTGTTTTACTGTTACACATATTTCTTGGAGTATAATTTGGTTGACAAAATGGAAATAATGTTTTTTATTTATTTGCTATAACACTGAGTATTTGCACAACGGCTAAATTCATATTGAGTTGTTTTAATCTTGGTCCCATATCATATCATTTTTCAGATGACAGTCATTTAATAAGAGACTGCTACATGCAGGCCATTGTGGGATTGTCCTTGCATAGTTAGATTAAGACCTAGTTTTTTATTTTAATGTGATGAGATTTTTTTTTCCCCAAGCAACATTTATTCAGCAAATATTTGGTGTTTTTGTGTCTAAATGCCTGGGAATTTTTTTCCTTCCTCTAATAAAAATATCTGTGATCATTTTGCATGAGTATGTGATCATGTATAAGAGTAACACTTGTAAAGTCCGAAAGAATGTTTTGGGCAGACCTGGTTTCTCTCTTTACTTTGTTAGATTTCATTTTCTGTAATTGGAGTACTAAACACAGATTTTCTTGCTGCCAGGCATAAACCTGCTATGGGCAGTACTAAGATAAATAGGTAGAAGTTAGGGAGTCAGAAATGGGAAGGAAGATTTTATAAGTGATTATGGTCATCCAGCTTTGGGCATTCCTGTCAGAGTTATCTGTCCCTGAGGTAGTCATGTAAATGTTGGATGACAGTTTGACAGAGAAATTGTAGGGATAATTCCTGCGATGGAGAATGTGCTTTCTTTTCTAAAAGTAAGTGAACAATAATGTATGCTGTATAATTTTACTTAATGTTTGTAAAGACTTTTAAAAAACTGTGATATAGTGGCCTCCTTAGTGGTCTAGAGTTAAGTCTCAGCGCTATCCCCGCTATGGCCTGAGTTTGATCCCTGGCCAGGGAGCTAACCCACAAGGCACACCTGTCTCGCCTGCTGTTTCCCTCAGCAGTGTATTTCAGTAGATGTGCCTGTTCTGTTCCCCACTGTCTCTATGAATCCTCTCACCACTCCTCCACCTCTGGCCTACATCGCAGTTCTGTGTAACTTAAGTAAAATAAATTAAAAAAAAAGAAAAGAAAAATTCCGATACAGAATGTTATAAAATCAGGATTGATACTTAGTGGTTTAAATGAAAACTTTCACTCCTCTAATTGTTGTAAAAACCATTGAGAAGGAGTTGCCAGTATCTTGGAAGCTTTTTTCCCTCAGTATTTAGTAGTCTTAATTAATGTGCTAGTGAATTTAGTTGTGTTATTTTAAACACCAATTACCTGAATTAAATTTTATTCCCCTAAGATTTTGCAATGGTTTTTAAAAACTCTTTATACTTACATATATATAAACACCCAAATATATACATATATATCAGAAATGTCAGACATTATTATCCTATAAATATTTAAATATTTAAAATATTTTGCTGTTTCCTAAGCATTTTGTGATATAGTGATCCTGTAATATACTAACCCTAATTAAGTTTTAGATACTAAAATAGTATATGTGTGTATATTTTTTCCTTGATTTTTTTAGCTTATATTGAAACACATCCCTTTTATTTCTGATAAAAAAAATGCTGTAAATATTGAGAGTGCAATATTATACTGATAAAACAAAAGTATAAACTATTAATTTGTGTTATAAATATTGAAAGGCTTAATTACAAATTAAATATTGAATTGGCTATACTATTAATGAAGTCACGTCCCTTAGTTCATTATAACTGTTGAAAAAGAAAGCAAACTATTGCATATTTTATATAGCATAATTCTGAACAAATCCCTGTTATAGTATGGGTTTTAAATGTGAAAATTATTTTCATTGCAGAAATCATTATCAACTTGTGGACCTTGTATGGATTTTTTTACTTGATAAAGTATAGTAAAATAATATGCCAAATTTTAGAAGCTAAGTAAGATTTTTCATGGGTGAAATTATGACCAAATTTTACAAAGGGCTCATAGTAATAGAAATAACTATAGTTGATTTGTTTCATAATGTTACCACTAACAAGATATTGGAATAATTTTACTAAAATGAATGTTGTTAAGTTGGGGATCAAATTTTTATTCATAAAATTTGATTTGAGGTGATTATTTGATTTTGTGTGTGTGTGTGTGTGTACACATGTAGTGCCAGGATGAAAGGATTTCCCCTGTTAAATGATGACAGCATAATGAAACAAAAATCAAAACATTTTATTTATACAGTTACTGGATATTTTGCTTTTCAGAAAATGATGAAGGAATGCATGGTGAGACTTATATATTGTGAAATGCTTGGATATGATGCTTCTTTTGGCTATATACATGCAATCAAGTTGGCACAACAAGGAAATCTTTTAGAAAAAAGAGTGGGTATGTATGTATTTAAACCTTTCATACTTTAATGTTGCTCTTAATGTTCCAGCCACCATATAAAATGAATGATGACAGGCACAGTATATTTTTTAGAACACTGCTCTATAATTTGCAAAGCTTTAAAATACATCACTTCAAAAACCAAAGCCTATAAATGGAATCAGTTTACCTGATTTATTTTTGAGGTTTAGAGATTAAAAATTGCCTGTTCTTGTATTGGTGGTTAGATGGCTATATATATTTGTCAAAATTCATTGAATTATACACTTAAAGAAGGGGACTTTTTTAGTGTGTAAATTTTATGTCAATTAATACTAATTTTAAAGAGTCTGTCTAGCCTCATTAAAGAATAAAACAGAAATTGACTTGAATAATTTCAAATTGCCTGTTCTCAGTTTCACAGATGTTACTAAGAGAATTAGAGGCCTTTAAAAAAATTTTGGCTCTGTAATCAATGCTTAGGGCTATTAGGAAAACTCGTTTCAAAGATTGAAGCCTCCTATCTATATAGGTTCAGCTTCTTTAACAGAATCTCAAGAATGAAGCCCTTTAGAATATTATAGAAGTACAACATGTTTTTTATTCAAAGAATAGTGTCATGTCAAGGACCAGCATTATTCATAAATTGTATTTGCATGTTGTCAGATGATGGTTGGGCTGGGAGATGTCTTAATAAAGATGCTGAGCCTGCATACCCATAATATTCCACTTGTTGAACCCATTCCACCCAAAATACTCTTGTATCTTCTATACCTGTATACTTTTATTCAAGAAGACTGTCCTCTAACATACTGTCTCTCCTTTTCCATATTCCAAATCAAATTTTAATTCTTCTCTGATTATTCCGATGGCTCTTACTATCTGTAACCTGGGGGTTGTCTTTTCATGTATTAATGTCTTAGCGCCTGAGCTAATTCTAAGATCCGTAAAGGCAGGGAATGTTGAAAGCAATACATATTTTGTATAATTGTGGCTGCTTCATAGATTTTCATGTAATTGTTTTCATTTATAATTTAATTTTATTTTAAAAATATGTAAAGTATTAAATGGTTCCAAAGTTAAGTAAGACCTTATACAAAGGTATAATCAAGATGTCTGACTTCATCTGTTGCTCTTCTGTCTAATGTGCCCCTTACTTCCTTTTTTTAATAGAACTTTTTTTTTTAAAGATTTATTTATTTATGCATACAAGAGCTGGGGTACAGGCCAGAGGCATGAAAGGTGAGAGGATTCACCAGAGACAGAGTGGGGAGCAGAACAGGCAGACTGATTGAAATACATTGCTGAGAGAAGCAGCGGGCAAGACAGGAGAGGTCTGCTGCGCCATGTGGGTAGCTCCCTGGCTCGCCAGGGGATGGAACTTGTGCTGCAGAGGCTGTGGATTGTTTCACTGTGCGATGCTTAACCCCCTGGGCCACCAGGGAGGCCCCTTCCTTATTTGTTTCTGATTAACCTTTTCTCTTTTTGAAAAAATAAGTAAATGTATTTGTACATACTCAGATAGTCTCTTTCACAAAGGTAGCATATGATATACCCTGTCTCTTAACACAAAAGATAGATTGTTTTATAACTTGTTTGACATCTTTATACTTTGTATACTTGTATAGCTTTTATTGGGTGGATGGATATGTTATTTTTTTCAACCATATCCCTACTAGTGGACATATGGGTGGTTTTTGATTTTTTGCTCTTATAAGTTATAATGTTGCAGTGGATAACTGTGTACATGAATTAATGCATTATTATGGGGGTTTATCTTCGGCTTGTCTTAGACTCTTAGGAGACCTCAGAGTCATTTTTATTGATATTCAGGTCTCTCAGGAAAGTAATTTATAACCAACAAGACAGACCTATTTGCAGACATTAGACATTCTGTATATGTGCTAATTAGTGGAAGTTATTTTTAAGTAGCATTTAAACACTTCTGTCTGTCTTTACTCTGGTACTACTGCCTCATTCACTTTGCTGAGATTTCTTAGCCTAGCATTGTGCTTTCTTTGACGGAGAATGCCTTCTTAGTTTTTATGTGTATGTTGTTGAATAAATTTCAATACCCATTAAGTCAGGTGTTACGTTAGGTTCTTTATCTTGTAAGATAGCACTTATCTTCATTTTACAGATGAGAAAATTAAAGCTTAGAAAGGTTAAGTCACATGTCCAAGGTCTGAGAGCTAATACATGGTGGAATCAGAATGTGAATGTAAGTTTATACGTGTCAAAGCTTATATTCTTACACTATACCCCACTTTATATATATTGAATGTACTTTATAATCATAGTTTAGTTTTGTTTTTCTGAAACCTTTTTCATTTTTTTGAGTCACAGAGTATCTTGCCTTTTGTTTCCTGATGTTCAAAAACGGTATTTTTTGAAATGGTCTTTGGGTTAGTTTATCTTCTACCCTGATATTTGTGAGTTGATCATGTGTGATACCTTAGCTAAACACAGGTGTCAGAAACCCTTAAACTTTGGGGCCTCCCCAGTGGCATAGCGGGTTGAGCGCAGCACTGTGAAGCAGCCTTGCAGCGCGGGTTCGATTCCCAGCTGGCCAGGGAGATTCCCACATGGTGTGGCAGACCTCTCCTGTCGCGCCTGCTGCTCCCCTCAGCAGTGCTTTCGGTCTGTCTGCCTGTTCTACTCCCCACTCTGTCTCTGGTGAATATCTCACCCTCCTGTGCCTCTGGCCTGTACCCCAACTATTGTATAAATAAAAAATAAATCTAAAAAAACAACAACCCTTAATCTCTGCTTTAAATGTTCTTTGTGGTTTTTCTCATCTTTCTTGGTCCTGATTAGTTCTTTTCTTTCTCATGATTGTGGGAGTAATCGCTCTGCTCCTCTGACCTTCATTGTAGATATTGCATTAAGTCATGCTGCAACATCTTGGCTGTGAGAATAGCCAATGGTTTTCCCATGTTCCCTAATAGGTGCAGACAGTGTGGATGCTAATAATGATGGAGATAGTTAACATTAAAATCCTTTTTTTTTTTTAAGATTTATTTATTTATTTATTTATAGAAGCACTGGGTACAGTCAGAAGCGCGGGAGGGTGAGAGAATTCACCAGAGCCAGAGCGGGGAGCAGAACAGGCAGACTGATGAAGTACACTGCTGAGGGGAGCAGCGGGCACAGCAGGAGAGGTCTGCACGCCATGTGGGACCCTCCTCTGGTGGCCGGGGAGCAGCCAGGGATCGAACCGGCGCTGCAGAGGCTGCGGGCAGCTTCGCAACCCAGCACTCAACCGCTGTGCCACCGGGGAGGCCCAACATTAAAATCCTTAATGAAAGTGCTAAAAGAATTGAGAAAAGGCCTCCCTGGTGGCGCAGGGGTTAAAGTCTCAGCACTATCAAGCTCTATCCTCAGCCACTGTAGAATGGCATGAGTTTGATCCCTGGCCAGGGACCAAACCCACATGGCGCAGCAGACCTCTCCTGGCTCACCTGTTGCTTTCCTCACCTCAGCAGTGTATTTAAGTAGATTGCCTGTCTGCTCCCCACTCTGTCTTTGGTGAATCCTCTCCTTTCCCCCCACCTCTGCCATATATGCTAGTTCTTTTGTGTATTAATAAATAAAAATAAATCTTAAAAAAAAAAAAACAGTGAGGAAGGAGGCAAGGAATAATGCCTCAAGGTGTACTGTGTGGAGAGACAGGATGGGGTTAAAAACATCTGACTGCTGCTTGCTGAGTTTGTGTCCTTGCTTCCCCATCTAATAGTTGTAGACTTTGGGCAGTTATCTTTATTGGGGCCTCATCATGTTTAGGATAATACCTACCTGCTGGAGTTTTAAGCATTAAATGAGGTGAGGCTTGTGATGTACTTGACCTATAGTAACTGTCTAATAAGTGCTAGTTTTTACTAATATGAAGAATGACAGGAAAATTATATGGAGCATCTAGATTCCATGCACATGACATTTGTCAGTATTAATGTGTTTTCTTAATACTAAGATGTATATCTTTAGGTTTCAGTATTATTCAAATGAAAATGCTTATTTAAGTCAATGAGTACAATTAATGCAGTAGACAATATTTTTCACTCAGCAACTGCTATTCATTCAATAGTGTGTCTTCAAATGGAGACAATAAACTATTGGTTCATTTAATACATGATTTACATTGTATCGGTTGGTATATGGTAGCTCATTCAGTAATACAAATGGAAAGTAATTCACTATTAAATGTAGTAGCTTTTACTATACCTGAGAGGAGAAAGCAAACATTGTATAAAAATGAACAATTATGTAAAATATATATAAATTTTTTAAAATGTAGTAATTAGTTTTTGAATAATTTTATGTTTGGCTACAAGATAGAAATATTTTGATTGATTGTGAATATTTGCAAAAAAATTAGAAGACATATTCCTGATATCATTACAAGACCTTATTTTGGTATACATTGCCTGTTTTCATTTCAAACGTATGCTGTGAAATACATAATTCTAAAAAATTTCAGAATGAAAAACACTTGAAATTTTCCTTATTGAAGTTTTTGTACCTAATATTTTGCAATTTGTTTTTGTATTGACCTGTAACTGGTACCTTTGTGTAACTTGGGAAAGTTACTTTGAGCAGGTAATAATGAGATTTTTCTCCTCAACTTTTATAGGTTATTTGGCTATTTCTTTATTTCTACATGAAAGTCATGAACTGCTGCTGCTCCTTGTGAATACAGTTGTAAAGGTACTGTATTGTATGTTGGTTAATTTGAAGTCTTAAATTATTCCTGCAGATGTGACATTTCCCCTTAATCATGTTGAATTAGATGTTTTTGAAAGAAGATAGGCTTATAATGGGCTTATAAAGGTCATTTAGATCAGTTTCTGCATCTGTAAAGTGAAGATAATGATATAACTTAGCCAAATTGTACGGGTTACTGCTTCTATTTTATTGTTTCATTTTAAAAAGCAAAATTAGAATTATAGCTCATTTCTCTAAAGATGCACTTTTCGTATTGTTGCCTTTTTCTTTAGGATCTGTTTTTTTGTTTGTTTGTTTGTTTGTTTTGATGTATTTATTTATGCATACAAGAGCTGGGGTTAAGTGTGTAGGATCTGTTCTAAAGGAATATAGATTTAAATGGAATGTTGAAGTCTTTTAAATTTTGTCATTTTAAAGGACAATAGAGTACAATTGGATGAATGAAATATACAGATGATCAAAGCACAGTTTAATCCATACTTCTAGTATTTTTCCTGTTAAACTTTTTTATTTTAAAGATTTATTTATTTTTATACAAGAATTGGGGTACAGGCCAGAGATGTGGGGGTGAGGGTGAGAGGATTCACCAGAGACAGAGCAGGGAACAGAACAGGCAGACTGATGAAATACACTGCTGAGGGGAGCAGTGGGCGAGACAGGAGAGTTCTGTCCCACCATGTGGGTTTCTCCCTGGCGGGCCGGGAATCAAACTCCTGCTGCAGTGGCTGCGGATTGCTTCATAGGTTTCGTCTTAACCCCTGCGCCACCAGGGAGGCCCTTTCCTGTTAAACTTTTAATGAAAATTGATTATGAAGTATAATTGAATTGTTGAGCTTTCTCATGTTTTTCTTGTGTCAATCTTTTGTGTATTTTGTGGGCAAACACCTTTATTCTGTCTTATGTTAATCTTTTATATGAGTGTGTATATGTATGTAGCCTTTTCGAATTTTGAGTTATAGGCTATTTTAAGGTTTCTAGTTGTTTAAATTTTTTCAAATTTATTAAAAACATATTTTCAGGTTTTATTAGAATGACTTACAAACTTTGTGTAATATGTAAGCATATGTGAATACTTGCATTTTATTGTATAGACTTGAGAATTACTTCCTTTTTAACTTTCAGTAATGTTATTAACAAGAAAAATTCATAAAATTGATTGTACTGGTTTGGAAAAGTTTAAAGACTGTAATAAATAAAGACTGTAATAAAGACTGTAATACTTTATCCAGTGTTAGAACAAATACAATTACTTTTTGACTGTGTTTGTCTCTTGGCTCTGTTAAGCCAAATGAAATAGATATATTCCATAAAATATGAGGTAAGCCTGAATGTACAAATTACTTATATAATTGGTGGAAAACTATCAAGTATGTAGGACCATTGATTGCATTGTTGAGCTCACCATCCGGAGTATCAGAATTTGCACTAAATGTTTTCTTTGCTTAATAATTATGTCAGGACTTGCAGAGCACTAATCTGGTAGAAGTATGTATGGCACTTACGATCGTCAGCCAAATTTTCCCTCAAGAAATGATTCCTGCTGTTCTTCCATTAATAGAAGATAAGCTTCAGCATTCTAAGTAAGTAAATTGTTTTTAGATAGGTGTTTATGCTGTGTATTTCAAACCAAAATTCATTATAACTTTAACTTAATACCACCAGGGTTGAAGATACTCTTCAATTGCTAGATACAATGCAAAAAGCCTCAGTAGGATCGTTCTTTATTTTTATGTGGGTTTATAAAAATATTAGGGAGTCTTTTTTTTTTAATGTTAAACTGAGAGATAGGCTTAATGTCAAGATTCTGTGACTTTCCACTTCTACCATTAAAAACAGTGATTGAGTTTTTCCTTACCTACATTGGATTGGTTGAAGCACCTTAGTACTCACAGGTTGTTTTGAGGATGAAGTAAAATAATGGAACACATTTGGAAATGCCTCAAGTCATATGAATAAAAAACTTTGCTATCTGGGGATGCATATTCTATGTTATAGCACAGTATATCCAGAAAAATTTTGCTAGTCTTTTAAGAATTCTTAACTCTCTTCCTTATTAGCTTGACTTACTTTTTCACCACACTTGGAATTCTTTTGTTTTTGACCAAACCTTTCAACTTCATCATCTTTGAAAGCTTAGGAAACATTGTGCATTTTCCATTTTTCCTTTGTGATCACAGTATTTTAACTATTCTTACATTCGTGATAGATTTATTTTGTTACTTCTACAATATTTATTTCATACGCTTCTTAAAGTCAATATAATGTTCTAAGATTATAAAATACTGTTTATGATCTGTGTTCTTCAGGAAATCTTGGACCATGAATCTTTTAGCTAAAATAACTTTTAGTAAAAATTATAGAGTAGTTTAATAGGGTTTTCAGACTTTTTATAATGTTTCAGTTATGTCAGATCTGTTTTAGAACAAATTTTCTGGGTATAGACAATTATTGGAAATAAAATGTAGTTTTTTCTTTGATAATTATAGGTGGATCTGATCATAGCAGAGCATATTTTTATGTAATTTTTCCATACCACTACCATTTTTGTGGTAGTCATACTTTACAGACCCTTTGCATGAAGTTCTTTTGAGAATTGAATTTTTTTTCTTACTGCTTCTCATCTACTCTAATTTCAAGTCCTGGCTTCTCCTGTCTTCTACTGGCTAGAGTTTAGGCTTTTCGAAACTGCTTCTGCTGTTATGTCCATACCTAACTCCATGCTGTGGAGTAAAGAAGAAAGAATATGGGACAGAGCTACAGGTAGGCTAGTAGATGTCACAAAGATAATGTGAGACAGGGCTTGGACCTGACTTTTGAATCCCAGGCTGTGTTTCAGTATGCCAGACCTGCAACCCAAATCTAGGTGTCTTGATGTCTTGCATTAATACTACCATTTAGGGCAGGCCTAGAGATTCCTGAGTCTCTTCAGAGTTTGTATCCTTCTTCTGTATTCTTTTATTCTTTTACCTACTGTCTCTGAGAACTAATATTGGTTAATACCCAGTAACTATTGGGTAGTTTACAGTCATTAAGGTATTAATACTAATGGAAAGTCTGTTGTTAACTTCTTTCCTTTCTATGTGAAAAGAATTTCCATCATGGCATAGTTTGCTTACAAAGAATGAGTTGCCTGTAAGGGGAATTTAGCAGGAGTTAGGTGATCATTCATTAGGACTCTTGTAAATGCTATTCTTTAGAGAACATGGGATTGCATTGAAGAATCTGATTTTAGAAAACAAACTATATTTAAGAACCCTTAGAAGTAAATACTTCACTTCTGTGACACATGTGAACACTGCTGTTGTATTCTGAAAATATGAGATATGTGGATATAGGCATGAGACAGAAGAGGAAGAAATACACTCCCTTGGAAATATGATCAAGGATAGTAGTGCCTTATTTTTGTTTCTTGTGTGCTAGATTTTCATTATCTGTTACAAATGAAGAGCAGAATTTCTGTATACTTACCCTCTTTGTTGTAATGAGATTTTTGAAACATGAGCTGGGCACTGAAAGGAGTAACACCTTTTAATTTCACGTGAATCTGCCAACAGAAGTATTTGGAGTATGTGTCCATGATATAAAAAAGAGAAACATGAAAAGCTCAGAATGTTAAAGAGACTTTTAATATTAACAAAGAGATTGTTTAATGGTAATACATAATACCTCTTAGTGATGTAAATTTACTATTGATCCATTTCCTAATTTCAAGACATATGACTTTCAAAAATGGTGTTAGAGTAGTAGGGATTTGTTTATCTTGTTTGTTCTGGTTTCAAATGTAGTATATGCTGGTTACCAAAAAATTCCATAACTGGAGAAATATATAACATGATCAGCTAAAATTTCTTGAGGCCTTACCTCTAGAAATAACCACTTTTTATATTTTGGTGGATTAAAATAAAGAAATTGATAATAGATGTATTATTTTCTCATTTTAGATTAGGATAATAACTGATATACATGTATATACATTTTTATTGAAGTAACATTGGTTTATAACATTATGTAGGTTTCAGGCATGCAACTTATAGATCAGTTGTCAGTGTATACTATATTATATTCACCACCAAAAACATAGCTGATATTTTGAAATCATTTGATCCATAATCTTCACCCTAAATCCCTGACGATTCAGACGACTTGCTTAGATTTCATTTTTTACCTTTAGGGAGATTATACGAAGAAAGGCTGTCTTGGCATTATACAAATTCCTGCTTATTGCTCCTAATCAAGTACAGCATATCCACATTAAGTTTCGGAAAGCACTTTGTGACAGAGACGTTGGGGTCATGGCTGCTTCCTTGCACATATACCTTCGGATAATTAAGGTAAGTTGGAGATTTCAGCAGGTACAGAGTTGGTACTGTTAGCAATATAAAAGAAAACTCAGATTTTTCAGTAAAAATGTATAATACATGTTTATTATTTTTAATAGTAACTTTTGAAAGTTGTCGATGGCAAGAGTTATAGGCACATTATAGAATTAGTCTTTTTTAATGCTTAAAATTTTTTCTTGTTTCTAGTATCTATTGAAGGTGCTGTAAATGTGTAGATTTGTGCTTTTTCAAGTAGTCAGTCTTTTATATAACTTCATGGGATGCATAATAACTTACAGAAATGAGGAGCGCTAGTAGAGGCTGTGCAAGGTATAGACTACGCTTTCAGACAAGGAAGGACAGAATGGTATGGTAAAATTTTTCTAAATGGTGATGACAAGTTCATACTAATTCAGCCCCAGTTTATTGCTGTTTGAAACCCTTTGTATCTGAAAGTATGTATTTGTTAGAGAGTTGATGAGTACTTCATAGTGAAATAGAATATGCTATTAAATTCAATTTAAATTTACAGAACTGAAGGTTGTTTTCACTTTTATGTATTGTTTTCCAAAATAATATGCTATAAGTACACATTGAATAATGTCTTATTTTTCCTCTAACATTTACTAAGCTTTGAAAAAAACTATTCCCTTCCAAAAATTTGTCCTTGGTACATAATGAAAATTACAATGAAGAATCTGATGTTCATTTTGGGGAATTTGTATTTTATTTCTCATTTGTCAGATAATCATGGCACACTCACTCAGAAATGCAAACGGATTAATTTTTAATAAGCATGTTCACTGATTTTGGGGAGTTTAAATATATAAGTAGTCTTGGTTATGCTCTTCCACATAGAGCACATTTACATTAGAAATACATACAAAATTCACATAGTATACAGTCCTTTTATTTTCATCAAAAGAGGAGATATTACTGCCCTCATTGAATATTATAGTTCTTTACTCTTTTCCCCCTAATTGCTGGTATAGGCATATCTCTGAGGTACTGTGGGTTCAGTTCCAAACCACCACAATAAGGCAAAAATTGCAATAAAGTAAGTCACAGAATTTTTTTTTCATTGTCTAGTGCATATAAAAGTTGTTTCCACTATACTGTAATCTATTAAGAATTCCACAGCATTATGTTTGAAAAAAATAATGTACATTAAATGTGACACAGACATGAAGTGTGCACATACTATTTGAAAAATGGTTTTGATAGACTTATTCAATGTATAGTTGCCACAAACCTTCACTTTGTTTAAAAAAAAAAAAAACAACAAAAAACTTGGTTGATGTTATCAACCAATGTTACTTTATTAAAAAAAGAATTGAAAAATCTGGGCCTTCCTGTTGGCGCAGCAGTTGAGCGCTGGGTTTGCTAGGCTGCCCGCAGCCTCTGCAGCGCCGGTTCGATCCCCGGCTGCTCCCCGGCCACCAGAGGAGGGTCCCACAAGGCGCGGCGCGCAGACCTTTCCTGCCGCCCGCTGCTCCCCTCAGCAGTGTGCTTCGGTCCTCCTGCCTGCTCTGCTTCCCGCTCTGGCTCTGGTGAGTTCTCTCGCCCTCCCGCGCTTCTGACTGTGCCCAGTGCTTGTATAAATAAATAAAAATAAATCTTTAAAAAAAAAAATTCTTTAAAAAAAAAATTAAAAAATCTGTGAAACTCAATGTAGTGATGCACAATAAGATAAATAACCTGTATTGGCTATTAAAGTCTTTCTAAGATGAAGTTATAAGAACATTTAAAATGTGGTTAAACTGTTTATAGGGACAAACAGAGTGGTTGACACTTTTCAGGGGATGATTCAGCTTCATATGGGATAGGCAGGGTTTCGTCATGGAAGAAATTACGCATATTAAAGCTCTGTTTCATTAAATGTGAACATGAAACTCCTAGGTAGCTTGTATTAAGTTAGAGTCTATAAGGCATTTTAACCAGGTCTATTTTATATTTGTTAAGACATTATTAGTAGTAAAGTTTTTTGTTTTATTTTGTTTTCTGGATGTAGGAGAACTCATCTGGATATAAAGACTTGACTGGGAGTTTTGTAACAATTTTGAAGCAAGTAGTTGGAGGCAAGCTCCCAGTAGATTTCAATTACCACTGTGTGCCAGCACCATGGTTACAAATTCAGCTCTTGAGAATACTAGGACTTCTAGGAAAAGATGATCAAAGGTAAACTAGTTTAAGTAAATTTGATAACCTTAAATTTTGGTCACCTAGAGGTTTCATGATAAGCTAGGTTATTCCCAATGCTTAACTTAATAGTGATAAAGGAATCTTTCTAAGAAATATATAAATTCAGGTTGCTGGGATAATCCTGGCTCTCTGCTTACCTTAATCTTGCTCATGGTGAAAGGTACCTTTGAGGCTCCATAGCTTCTGTTAAGCTTTCTTAATTTTGGTTTAGGGGTTGAGAAACTTATTCTGTAAATGACGAGGTAACAAATACTTTTTGATTTCCAGGCTATATGTTGTCTCTTACCATTATACAACTCTGCTATGTAGCTCCATAGTAGCCATAGTTTATAAATGACTGAGCACACCTTTTTACTGATACAAAACAACTATTTGTGGACTCTAAAACTTTAATTTTCCTCTCCAATCATTAAAAAAATGTAAGCATTTTTGGGCCTCCCCGGTGGCGCAGCGGTTGAGCGCTGGGTTGCCAAGCTGCCCGCAGCCTCTGCAGCGTCGGTTCGATCCCCGGCTGCTCCCTGGCCACCGGAGAAGGGTCCCACATGGCACGCAGACCTCTCCTGCCACCCGGTGTTCCCCTCAGCAGTGTGTTTCGTCAGTCTGCCTGCTCTGCTCCCCGTTCTGGCTCTGGTGAATTCTCTCACCCTCCCGTGCTTCTGACTGTACCCAATGCTTGTATAAATAAATAAATAAATCTTTAAAAAAAAAAAAAAAAAAAAAAAAAATGTAAGCATTTTTAACCTACAGCCATACAAAAATAGACATGGAATGATTAGGCCTGTGGACTGTGTTTGCTGACCCTTGCTGTAGTTGGATGTGAGCACTTCACCTTCTTAATTCAGTTAATCTGAATTCCTCTTTTAGCCAGTAATTTTTATTAAACTTTTGTGGGTGTTTTTTCCCAACTATATATACTTATAGCTTTTTATTTTGCCATAGTTTTTCAGACTTACAGAAAAGTTCCAATTGTAGCATTTGCTTTATCTTTCTCTGTTTACATGTATACACAGTTACTTTTTTCTGAACTGTTTGAGAGCAAGTCCAGCTAGATTTTAGTTCCTTGAGAGCGAGGACCATGGCATAAATCCCTAAAGTATTTCTATCCTAAGAAAATTGCTAATCAGTGTTCTGATTTTATTAGACTTTCTCTTTTAGGCAGTAGTGTACATTTATATTCTAATTCTTTTATTTGGTTTTCCAAAAGAACTGTCCACTAGGCTTTTGCTACTAGAAATGCCTCACCATCATCTTGTTAGCATCCATTTGCTCATGAGCTTGTGATGAACACCACTTGGGCTCTGATTGAACTCAGGTATAAACCTGAAGGTCATGGAACACTCACACAGATTATTAGTTCTAGTTTTATTTTATACAACTCAGCCTATCCTAGTGTGGAATTTTAGTTAAAGTTCACTGGAATTTTGTTTTAAAATCACAAATTTTATAGTAATGTACCCCAACTTCTTTGGTCTAAAAATAATTATTGCCATCTTATGTTGTCAGGAAGTAACTTTGGAGGCATTTAGTGAATTTACTGAATTGACTAGCTCATTATTCTCTTTCATTCCTTCATGGATGAATTTAGAGACTATATGAAAGGATGAATAAGATAGTGCTTACCTTTATGGAGCTTAGTTGAATAGTAAGTAGGCTCAATTCCTTCAATAAATAAAGACTAGAATTCCTTAATGTTGTGAAACATTAAAATGTTTCTCCTTTGTAGTTCTAACTTTAATGAGATTTTATGTTAATATCAATTTTACATATGATTAATTCAATATGGCAAAGTAAAAATATTAATCTATTTTATAACAGGATTCTGAACCTTTTAGTTGAAAGAATTAATTTACTGGAAAAATATTTTATTTTTATTCTTTTATATTTATTTTCTTTTGTTCTGTAGTATAGCATTCTACTTTTTAGGCTTCTAATATTTAGTTTGATCATGTCTGCAAATGTTTCCATATTTCATGTGGTTAATTGTGACTCTTAATGCTAGACATTGGCTTTGGATTTTGAAATTGAGTGACTAGGCTGTAGTTGTTTTACTGAATTTTTTTTTTTTCAGGGATGGGATGGGAAGATTTGCAGTGTCTATTATATGGTGTTATAAGTGGAAAAAATGCTTATGCAATAAAACGAGGGATTTTAAAGTATGGTTCTGGCTTCTCACTGGATATTTGTACTTTAGTAAAGACAAACTAAAAGTATATGCACTTCAAACTGAAGTACATTTCTTTTTTTTAGAATAAACATTTTCTTGAGGTACATACCATAGCAAATGTGTACAACCCCAGATTATTTTGGTCTTTTATTTGTTTTATATTGTAGTTTCTCAGTGAGACTATTGTATGTATTCTCTATTGGTATAACTTTTTTTCTCTGTACTTTTAAATTTGTAAAATATACAGAAATACCAGCTCAGAAGCCATAGTTTTCTCATTGGCCTATTGGAAGAGGAATTTTTTCTTCTAGGCTTAGGACTCACTGAAGCACTGTATTTTCCTAGTGTATTGACCTCAACACAATTACTGTTCCTATAAGCAGTGACCATAACATAGGAATAGTGGTAGTGTGTGTGGTGTGTTAACATACACTAAAAGGGTGTGATCATGTATCTCTTAAGTCATATATAATGCTGTAAGCCAATGTCTCCACAATAAAAAACAAAAACAAAATAAAATATAAAGGGGTGGTACAGATCTCTTAATTCTACAAAATATGGTTTCTTTAATATAAATGAAAGTTAAACTTTACTTTTGAAGAACTTAGTGCTAAAGACTAGTATTTGTATTTTTTTTGAAACTGTGGTTAAAATATAGATAGAAATAATCTGGCTATATAATGTATAACTGTAGAAACTTAGAAACATTTTATTACGAAGAAGTTATAAAAGATAGTGTATTCAGCTACACCAAACCAATCAAACCAAAATCAAATTTGTAAACTAGATACAGATTGAGGAAAGAATTAATCAACATATTTCAATATATCTCTTTATTGAGTAGTCAGCTTTGATAAAGAGCAAATGGAATCTTTAAGAAGTGAAATACCCATAACTTCATAAAATGAATTTCTTTCACTTCTTTTCTGTAGATCCTCAGTTTTAAAGAGAAGTTTGAAAGCAATGTTTTATTGGGTTATAATACTATAATTCTACTGCAAATAAAATATCTTTTAAACAGGACAAGTGAATTAATGTATGATGTTCTTGATGAATCCTTACGAAGAGCCGAATTAAATCACAATGTCACATATGGTAGGTAACATGTAAATACTATGCTAATGACCAACAGTGTGTTTCAGTATTATGACTAAATCTGTGTCATATTACTATAAGTTCCAATAGAGTGTTACATGTTCATTTTTAAGGTGGTTCTTTGAGTTATTATTTTTCAATGTAAGCACTGAATAACAAATAATTTTCAGTTGTGACATTGTTTTAAATGTTGACCTGAATTCATTATGATAATTTTCTTTTCCTTAAGACTTTATTTTTAAGAGAAATTATATGAAAGCATTAAGCATTTAATTGACTGTGAAGATAACTCAGTAACCTGTTCCTTATTTTATAAGCCTATATTTGAATGTAGTTCTTAAATAAATCAATGAGTCAACTAGTTGTCAAATATTTATTATAATTTCTCTTATTTGTCAGACCCTATGTAAGATGTTTGGACTATATCTGTGAGTAAAACAGAAACTAACCACTCATTGAGCTCATAGAGTAGAGAAATGAAAAGGGGCAGGTGCTATAAATGTTGCAAAGAAGAGATACGTGGTGCTCTGGGATGTCTTAGGTGAGGGGAAGAACATGGAAGGTTTTTCTAAAAAAGTGATTTTTAAGAATATAGCCAAAGAATTCATAGTAACATATAAAGATATATAGATATAGAGTAGTAACATACTATTTTGTGAAGAGATGATAAACTGTGTTACATACAATTTTAAAAAGTAATTTTATGATAGGAAATAATAAATTGGGGAAGACGGTAGAGAACTGAGAAGAGTAACCAAAAAAAATTTCCAGTTTTAGTAGCAAAGGAAGGAACTATTTATTAGTTCTTTTATTGGTGAGTTTGAGAAAGCTCAGTGGAGAAATTGAGCTATTTGGAGATACTTAAGAACACTTAACACAGTTTGAATTCTGCATGCTTTGGTAGAAGAGGTATTGAGAGAGATGACTCAAATGAGAAGTAATTTCTTAATCTGTGACATAGATTTGTGTTTCATATGCGTAGATGGTAATGAAGGCAATGTGAGTGGTTTATTCATTTATTTAACCAGTATTTGTTGAATACCTACAAAACAAAAACTTGATTTGCCAACTAAGTGTAGATTGAGGAAAGAGGTGATTGATTTAATGTATTCCTCCATGCTAAATGTAGAAGATTAAAAGAAAAATAAGGTAGACACAGGCCCTGCCCTTATGAGTGTGTAGGCCAATGAACAGTTGATATTATCTAGGGCCCTGCTATATAATGAGGTTTAAAAAAGGGAGGGGCAGAAACCACTTTTATTGAGATAGTTGGTTTGGATAGAAGTTGTCAGAATTTTTCCAGGTAGCTAAAGTAAGTTAAAAAGTTTTGTTTGAGATAATCACCATCAATGATAAGGGTTTTAAAGGCTTTCAAGGAATTCTGTTAAAGCTCTGCCTTTTTTACTTGCAGAACTTTTTTCTTGGGGTCAATTGACGTTTCAGCTTTAATTTTTTTTATTTTTGAATAGGTAATATATGCACATGGTTCAAAATTCAAAAGGTACAAAGGGTATACAGTGAACAGTAAGTGTCGCTTCCACCCTTATCACCCACCACCTAGTTCCCCATCCTAGAGATAACCACTATCATTTGCCCCTTTTGATTTGGAGAAAACTATATATGTAAGGAAATATTTTTTAATGTTCTCTACTAGGATACCCTTCTTTTTATTAAGATTGCTGGAGCCAACACCAGCCATTTGTAGACTGTTAGTCTAGTGTTTTTCCTTGCCACAGAAGCCTTATAATTTCTGTTCTCATTTATTTCCTTTACTCATCTTTCCATTGTTATGCTTTCCCATCGTATTTGTTTTGATACATTTTATAGCTTACATTGATTATGTGAGTGGTGTTCTCTAGTAATCTTAGTATAAATATTTTATTAAGAATGTCAATTTTAAATTTCAAACTTCATAAGGGCAGGAATTGTGTTTGTCTTATTGACCAGCAAACCGCACTACCTGGCATTGAATTCATTGATAAGTAATATGTTTCAATAGCACTAAAGGAAGAGAAAGTTATTTAACTTTTATCAGTTATCTGACTGGTTTTCATTCTTAATACTTTCTAAGCCAAATTCTTAATGAGAATTGTATTATTGTAACTTAGTGTCAAATCAAGAAATAAATTACATCAAAGACATTTATTGAGTATCTGCTATGTACCAGGCATTGTATAAAGTAAAGTAGAGGATATGAAGAAGTATAAAGCAAATCTTTGTCTTCAAGGAATTTACAATGTAATGGTAGAGAACCTATTTAGGAGCCCATATAGTAAGGCAGAATGCAGAGGGGTAGCACAGGGAATAAATATTACTGGAATTCAGAAGTGGTAGGGCACACATAAGATTTACTGATGTAGTGGCACCCTGAAAGTACAGGGTTTAGATAGCTAGTAAGAAGGGAGGTTAAACAGAATTATGGCTAAGGGAGCATGAAGGAAGGAGCAGAAATGGGAGTGTAGAATGTTTCAGAGAACACTGACTCGCTGATCATTGACTAGACAGTGTGTAGTGGGAGCAGCAGAAAGACCATGTTGCAGAAGTCCTCTCCTACAGCCACTTGAGTTTGGATTTTATACTTTATAAATCTAAAGGTGTGAAAGATTTTGGGCAGGATACTGATTTATTTAAAAAAAGAAAATTCCCTCTTAAACAAGGACATTGATTATTTCATGTAACAGGAAGTATGGCAGTTCTCAGGGCTGATAGTTTCGGTTCTTCCTTGGGCTGGCTTTAACGTCAGGTTGGAGCCGAGATGGCTGCCACAGATCCACGCCTCTGTTCCAGGCATGGTGATGGCATTTAGAAGAAAGGACTCACTTGCACCTGGGTTCTTCTTAAGATCATAGTAATTCTCTCTCCAGAAGTTCCCAAATAGACTTTCTGTCATTTCCCATTCACCAAAACAAATTCCTTTCTCTAAGTCTACACTTGGATAAAGGAATGAGATGATCACAGCTGGTTTTCACTAATTAGGGCTCATCCCATGGAGTTGACTCCCAAAAGGAGTTAACATTTTAGGAAGCACATGGCTGAGTTACTTGAGCCAAATTACTTGGTTACTTGAGCCAAATTAGAATTGTGCTAGAAAGAAAGGAAGTAAAGGCTGGGTAGACACTGAGCAGCATCTTCTAGAAAACTAACTTCTTAGTTGTTTTCCTTGGGGAAATTTTATTAGTAAAATTACTCTTGTTAAGATTAGGAGCTATGGGGCCTCCCCGGTGGCGCAGCGGTTGAGCGCTGGGTTGCAAAGCTGCCCCCAGCCTCTGCAGCGCCAGTTCGATCCCCGGCTGCTCCCCGGCCACCGGAGGAGGGTCCCACATGGCGCGCAGACCTCTCCTGCTGCCCACTGCTCCCCTCAGCAGTGTGCTTTGGTCCTTCTGCCTGCTCTGCTCCCCGCTCTGGCTCTGGTGAATTCTCTCACCCTCCCGCGCTTCTGACTGTACCCAGTGCATGTATAAACAAAACAAACAAACAAACAAATAAATAAATAAAACATGCCTCTATTAAAAAAAAAAAAGATTAGGAGCTATGCCAAGGAATGAGGGAACACTCAAGTGCTAAGGGAAAAGAGAAGTTAGAAAAGAATAAGAGAAAAAAAGGATTATCTCAAAAGACAAGACACAGATGAATTGTACAAAAGGCACAACCAAAGTGCTTGCCCAGAAGGTGTGAATGCTTATAGAAGTGATTATGAGGTATTCTGAAGCACAAGTGGGACAGAGAGAGAACTCAGGATTTAGAAAGATATGGGGATCCGGTGTCTAGAACAATGAGAAGGAATAAAATGACAAATGAGAAGAAGGAAAGAAATAAGGGGAGGAAAATCCCTGCCGGGCAGCAGCCACTCAGGGGAAGGTGCTGTTGCTGCGAGGCCTGTGCTGCCGGGAATTAGTCCCTGACAACTGGCTTCTGACGGGGAATGGTTTTTAAATAGCTGACTTCCTTTGTACCTCTGTTCATTAAAAATATAATTTAATAGTGAGGGAATTCAGCAGAGTTGTAATTTGGAGACTAGAGCCTGTGTTTACCATCTAGTGAGAGAAATTACCTATTAGGGTAAACTTCTGTTTCAGTCCTGGCTCAGTTTGAAGATGTGGTATTTGAGTGTGGTCTGCCCAAGGGATAGGAATGGACATTATAATTAACAGTAGTTTATTTCCTCCCCAACTTTTTCCAGAATGACTTAGTAAACCCTAAACCATCACTTTGTTCTTTAGAATGCTTCCTGGGAATATCATTGTACACTTGCTTCCCAGGAACACTCTAACCCTCAGAACTTCATTGCCTGTGATTCCTGTTATGTTGTGTGTGAAGCTCAAGATTATAGTACATGACAGCATTATGAATATATACGTAATGATCTGTGACTTGCATAATTCAGCTCTACAGATACTTTATGCTTTGGGTATTACTGTGTAACAAATGGATGCCCAGAATTTGCATTTAAATGCAGCTTGACTAATATGAGCAAAATGCTACAAAACTATGAAAAAAGCTAGCCTTAGATAATAGCCCATTTTCTGGTACCTGTTTAATTGGTCATTTTTTACTTTGGTTCTGACATGTTTTCCAACTTCTGTCAAGTGTCCATCTTTTGTAACTTCTTAGATTCTGTTATAGGCTTAATATCTTAGTCCTATCCTCAACTTTTTATCCAAAATAGTCTTCTACTTCAGCTCCCAGAATGACATTTTTACTAAGCCACTTCGTAAATTGGGGGATTTATATAAAATGGAATATAAATGACAGAACCATGAAATTAGATAGAAGTACTTTTCCACTAAGTTCACTTAAAAGTCCTGAATATTGTATGTAAAACAAACAGTAGACTCTGAAAGGTGTAAAAAAGAAGATGTCTTTTCTTGGCATAGAAGGACTATATCGTCAATAACCTGAGTTTTCTTTTTGCTTGATGTACCCCAGAGTAGGTACTGGAGAGTCAACAACCTGGAAATGGCAACAGGGCAACAAAAATAACCCAGAAACCCTCCTCTCTAGCCAAAGGACCAAGAAGATAAGGGCACAGAAGAGACCAAGAAGATAAGGGCATACCAGCAGGGAGAAAACATCTAGTCAGTAACCTCTCTATTCCAGCCAAGCAGTCATGACTGCAAAGGGTGAGGGAGAATCAGACTTTATGACAAGGTGCCTTAACCATCCCACTGGGATGGTGGCAGAGAAACCCAAGAGCTGGGATTTCATCCCTGCCAGGCAAGAAAGGAAGCCGTCTACCCTGAAGTGTCAGTGGAGATGATGTGGGAAGACTCGATTTCATCTTCCAGGAGTGGGGAAGAAAGAGCTACCCTCCTCTCTTTGCTGGAATGGTGTTAGAAGAAGCCTAATGTGGAAAGTCAGTATCTCACCATTGGTCAGTGATGCCTTGGCCACCTCCTCACTGTTGGTGGAGGCTGCCTGGGGAGTCGTAATGAGGTGCCCCTCCCTTTCCTGGGCAGGGTAGCATCAGCAGTTACTTCCACCCCCACCTGGCAGGAACCGGGAGTCCTTCCCCCAAAAGTCAAAGGAGACTTTATACCCATTGGGCAGTACTTTCCTCCCCCTTGCCAAAGTGATGTCAGTAGATGGAGACATTCCTTATTTAAAATGAAAATCTAGGGCCTTCCCTGGTGGCGCAGCGGTTGAGCGCTGGGTTGCAAGGCTGCCCGCAGCCTCTGCAGCGCTGGTTCCATCCCCAGCCACCTGCGAGGGTCCCTCACACACACAAAATAAATAAATAAAATAAAATAAAACGAAAATCTAGTGTGAAGGATGAAGTATCAGTAGAACTTCAAGTTTGGTTTGAGCATAATCCAACCCAAAGCAATCTAATAAAAACCATGTCACAAAGGATAGAACATTATTAGTTTTCATTTTAGTAATTTTTACTTAATGGTATTTTGGTCAGGACTTACTTGACTCCTGAAGAATAAAGTTCCAGATTGTGTATTCACATTTAGAAAACCTTAGAAGCACTTTTTCTTTCAACCACTGAGGGGTGACACAGCAGAATGTCTGCTTTTTCAATTTTGGACTTCCACTCAGATTTTGGCAGAGTTGGAGGATAAAGGGATTTAGTTCTAGGTAGGAAAATGATTTAAAAAAACTATCAAATTCATTTTCAGTTCATTTATGCCTAAGTTGACCAGTAAGTACACATTTTAAACTATTATTTTTTCCTATATCACCTTTCTGGAAATCTTATTCACATCTGACTATAAAAGTTTAGATTTTAGATGGGTAATGAGAAGCTTTTGTGAGTAAAGTAATTGGATAGCAAGTAAAGGAAAATGTGTTAGTTATGACTGAAAATTGAGCAATAACATTTTTCATCTTTCTTGGGACTGTCATGTCTGTTCAGGGTTTGGCAAACTTTTTCTGAAAAGGGGGCCAGATAGTAAATATTTTGACTTTGCAGGCTACATGTAGTTCTATCACTTTTTTTTGTTTGTTTTGTTTTTTATAACCTTTTAAAAATGTAAAAACTATTTTTAGTTTACAGGCTTACAAAAATAGGCCGAACACTAGAGTTAGTGGCAGTTTGCCCACTCCTGCCTTAGTTTGATAATTCAGTTGACCAAGGCAAGCTCCCTTTGTTTAGTTTTTAGCACAGTAAAGACATTTTACAGCACAAGTATCTGAAAGTACAAAGTATGTTCTTAGGCTCAATTTACTTTATAATTTATCCTTTAATTAAGGTCACTTCCCTTCTTAGGGAGAAATTTATATTTCAGATTTTTTCTGATTTCTTTCTCATCTGTCCCTCTCTTTTTCTCTCTCTCCCTCTCCCCTTCTCTCAGAAGTGTGCAATACTGAAATAATCAGAATTTATCTTATATGCAAAGAAGTTCCCAATTGTTAATGTTTTAAGCTTTTGGAAATAGAGGATTGATTCTGTCAAGAACTTGATATATGGGTGTGGTGTGGTAACATACATCTGTAGAGGTTTTAATAACCTATACTAGCATATATAGTGTTGTATATTACTGTTCCCTCAATTAAAAAAAAAGTTTTAAAAAAAGTACTTGATATGCTTCAACTTGCAGTAGAATTGTTTTAAAGTATACTGCTTCTGTGTCTCAGTTCTGATAGTTTGGTTATGTGGGGCATGTCCTTTATGATGCCTAAGTGATTCTTCTTTACCATGTCAGAGCTTCAGCGCTAGCTCCTTGATGCATGCTCTTTAAGAGAATTTGAAAAAAATTTTAGTGTCCACTTTAATCATCTATCATAGTTATCAGATCTTTGACTATTATTAGAAAATCAAGTTTGCACCCTATAAAGATATTCACTAGATTGTTCTGTATCCACTGAGGTTATTTTTAAAGAACTGACTTGGAATATTTTTGAGTAGAGGCCTTAAAATTATTATATTGAAATAAACTATATGATTTCTGCATGTAAATGGCAGAAACTTCCTGAGAATAAATGATTTTAAAGCATTCAAGGAGCATTGGAAATGTCTGTGTATAGGAAGAACAGTGAGTACGTTGCATGTTAATTAGAATGTGACCTGGAGGACAGGGGACTTTGTCTGTTTTCTTTATTTCTGTATCCATAGTACTAGAACAATGTCTGGTACATAGTGGGTGTTCAGTAAATACTTGTTGCATGAATGAATATGTCATTCTTATCTATTAATAAATATAATTCTCTTTAAGTTGTGCTATGGTAACCTTGTCATAATAACTACATAAACCGGAAAGCAGTAAAGTCCACATCTTTGAAAAAATTTCCAATTAGTTTGTTTTATTGTGATTTTATGCAATTTGTTTTATTTTACTTTAACATGAATCTTGACATTTTATATATTCTTTTTCTAGCTATTCTGTTTGAATGTGTGCATACAGTCTATTCTATTTATCCTAAATCTGAATTACTTGAGAAGGCTGCCAAGTGCATTGGAAAATTTGTTCTGTCACCTAAAATAAATCTTAAATATTTAGGTAAGATGATTGGTTTTTCAGCAGAAGTGACAAAGAAAGCTTTTGAAATTGCTGAGTATCTGTTTCATGTTACTTTGTATAATGTAATCTTTGTTTCTAGGACTGAAGGCTCTTACCTATGTTATTCAGCAGGATCCTACTCTGGCTCTTCAACACCAGATGACAATAATTGAATGTTTAGACCATCCTGATCCCATTATTAAAAGAGAGGTAAACTGGTACTTTGAACGTGCACATGAAGTGTTATAATTTTTAAACTTTATGTTGGTATTACGATGAGAGATTGGTGGGTGGTGTGTATGTGTGTATTTTAACTTGAGAGTCTTTTATTCTTCCAACTATGGAACTTTTCTAAAAAGTGCTTCAGTTAGTATCCATAGGAATGGTTTTAAATTATGAATCGGAGGATGTAGGTTCAATAGTTAGTGTACGGATTCACTAATACTTTTTTGGTCCAAGAATTGTATCAATAGGAGACCTGAATTCTATTGTCAGTTTTAAGATGAAATTTGTGGTAGTTAATAATTTTCATTATTGCCCTTAACATCTATAAAATAAAGTAATATATCCCCTGTTAAATATGTGGGAATGTTGAAAGAATTAATGAAGATATGCCTAAAATGATTTTTATTAGTACAGATGTACTAATTCCTTTGTGTAGGCATTTAGGAGAATGGCAAGGCACCAAAGGACATTAACAAATCTCTGTGGTTCTTCCTTTTTCACAGATAAAGAGTATGCATTTTCTTTGTGTGGCTGACCCCTAAATTGAGCAGGATTGACTTCAGTACAATTTTCTTTCTATTTTTTTTTAAAGCATGGACTTTATTATTGCTGTATTTAGTTATTGGGCTCTCAATTTAAAGGACTCAAAGGGCAATAGACTTTTAAAATTACGAAGTCTGATATCTTTGGTGTGTTACCTGCAGTGAAAAAAAATTAGTTGAATTATTTGAGGAAGGGGCTGAGTATCAGTGGGTACCCCAAGAAGGCACTGCACTATTGTCTGCTCAGTGTCACTGGCACGTCTAACCTTTATCAGTAGTAATTATATGCCAAGGACTTTGGTTGTTGGTTATGCAGTGACCTACTTCTTGGGACTGGGGTTCCCTTTTACCTGGCTTTATTACTCTCATACAGGGAGAAGAAAGGCAAAAAGGAGCTACCAAAGTTGAACAGAAAAGACCTCTAGCTGTGCCATTCTCATACCCCGGGCAGTCCTAGAAATGCTGAATTTCATGGCTTTAGTGTAAGAAGTTAATTTGATGTAGATTATCTGAAAATATGTAACATATAATTTAGAATCTACAGGGAGCATATGTGAAACAGCTCCATAAATTGAAAACTATTGGTAGGGAGATCTGTGTAAGTATAAGGTTTTAAATGGAGTTAACTGAAACAGTTTTTGAAAAATCAGACTTTCAAAATCTGTTATCCTTGGTACTTTCAGTCCTGGCTGAAAAATTAGAAGGAGCCCTTAAGATACTTAGGACAAGTTTGACAGGTAGGATAAGTCAGTGTATGTAAGTAAGAGTGTAAAATTCTCTTGCAGCTATTGGTGTTGTTCCTAAAACACTATAAAATGATATTTTCTAAATATTGCCCTTAGTCTCATATTTTTAGCACCTTAATGTAGAGCCTTAAGGCTAGTAAAATGGGAGCTCAATCTGGCAGTAGTCTTCCTTCATTTTACTTAAAGTAGCAAGGAGTATATTCCTCAGCACTGAGAAACTAGCTATAAAATGTTTCTGGATTCCTGAGTTTCTGAACTTTGCCTTGTAGGCTTTTAAGTGCTTGAGCCATCAACCTTTGCCCATCAACATTAGGGGCTGTTTGCTCTTAACTGACAAACCTACTCGAGTTCAGTTTTCTGTTGCTTGGATAATGTGGAAAATACACTTTATAAGGCTGGATTTTTATGTGTATGTCTGAGAAGACTTAGTAATGTAGGGTTGAGAACCTGTTGTATTTTTAGAAACTAAATTATAAACCTTTTAACTTTAGTCTTTACACGGCATGTCATGTAGAAATGTCAGATTGTAATTATATCAGTAAAGGCTTTTAGACTTTGAAATCAATCATAATTCATTTTTTGACAATAATTTTGCCTTAAATTCTGTTTCATTTAAAATATGCATTTCTTGAGCACCTATTAACTGATTTCCAAGAGATCTACATAAAAGTGGAAGAATCAACTATTACTAACCTATTTGTTACTATGTTTGTGTTATGCATTGTTTTATAATACTGTTTTTTTTTCCCCTCATTCTTAAACAGACACTGGAACTTCTTTACAGAATTACTAATTCACAGAACATAACAGTGATTGTCCAGAAGATGCTTGAATATTTATATCAGAGCAAAGAAGAGTATATTATCGTTAATTTGGTTGGCAAAATAGCTGAATTGGCTGAGAAATATCCTTTGCTTGAACCATAAGTAATAAAATACCTTTAGTTACACAGTGACTTTAAAAGAAAGTCAAGTTAAATTCAGAGAACCAGCAATCGTTTCTATTCCTGATTTTCAAACCTTTTATCAAAAACAAGAATTTATGTAGTACTGGTTTGGTTCTTTTCATTTGGTTGGTCACTATTGTAAACAGGAATCTGCCTGATTCCTCTTTCAATTCCTCCTTGAGACATTACTTCATACTCAAATTTCTTTTCTGAGTAAAAATTCTTGGGTTTTTATTTTGGGGTAGGAGGAGGTCGTTGCTCAGGATGCTAAAAATGATTCTTCACACTGTTGCTTATGCTGGAAATTGTCACAATAAAGTATTTAGGAACTGCATTCATCTGCTGCTATTTTTCATTTGCTTTGTAAATGTGAGAGAAACTTTAAAGGTCGCAAAGATATTTCATTCTCTTTAAAGTGTCTTCTAAATCTAAGAAAGAAAAAAAGGAATAATGTTAACCCTTTGCACTCCGCTGTCCCCTCTCAGGGAACATTGGTAGCCAGTGTCCAGAATGGTTCGGAGTGCAAAGGGTTAAATCAGATCATCTTGGAAATTGTTTAAGGATTGTTTTGTTGTAGCCAATGCTGCCATGGGTAGAAGAACAATAGAATTTTAGGACCAAAGAGGAACAGATTAGAAAAGAGGTTAAACAACTTCTTCAAGTAGATACACCACAACGCTTAGCCTTTCTAAGTATTGATATATCGTTTTCCATTGTTTGTTCTTAGCTGTGATGTTTCTTTCAATTATTTCACATCTATATCTTGGATGGTTATATGCAAGTGCTGGATAAAGTGATATCATAGTATCGGTTTATTAAGCTTTTACTGAGCACCTGTTTTATTTAAAACTGGAGTATAGAATAGTTTATTGTCAGCAGTTAAAAGTAAAAATGCCACACTAGGTGAATAGGGCTATTTTTAAAAAAGGTTGATGCCACTTACGTGGCACATGGAAGTGTACTTTTCCTTAACACTGTGGACACATATGCTCCTGATAATGCATGGTTTATTCAAACAATGAATGCTGTGTTTTCAGTGGGAGGAGATGTAATGCATCCCGATATTCCCAATAACTTTCTAAGACTGCTAGCAGAAGGTTAGTAAACTGTTACATTGTAAAGAAAAGATTTAAAATTAAATGTTTTAATTACAGAGTCCTTTAGAAAATCTAGTAGAAATTAAAATGATATATTAATATCTTTGTAGGTTTTGATGATGAAACAGAAGATCAACAATTAAGACTTTATGCAGTTCAGTCTTACCTTACTTTATTAGATGTGGAAAATGTGTTCTATCCACAAAGATTTCTTCAAGTTATGAGTTGGGTGAGCAAAATACATTAAATCATAAATGTTTATACCATTGCTTTTATAAAACCAAATAGTACAATATGTTTCTTTCAGAAATCTTTCCATTCTGCTCAGCTAACTCTCTAGCTGTGAATTTTTTTTCTCAGTAGCTACTTTCTCTCATTTAACTGTTGTCTGTTCTTTCTCTTTGCCATCTCTTATCTAGTCTTTTAAATATGTATATTTATTTAGATAAATGTTTATAATACATTTCTTGTGTTTTCATTGTGAACCTATGTTTGTATCTGTGAATACTTATGTACCTATGTTGCATTAGTTTTTTATTGCTGCATAATAGTGTTACCACAAACTTAGTACATAAAGCAACACAAATTTAATGTCTCAGAGTTTCTGTGGGTCGGGAGTCGAGGCATGGCTTAGTCGGGTTCTCGGTTAGAGTCTTTCAGGGTTACAATCAAAGTGCTGGTTGGGTTGTGGTCTCATCCAGAGGTTGACTGGTGAAGGATCTACTTCCAAGCTTATGTGTGGTTGTTGGCAGGATAGTTTCTTAAGTCTTAGGACTGGGATTTGAGTTTCATACCGTTGACTATAGACTGCTGTTGAATTGCCTTCAGCTTTTCCACTTGGGCCTCTCAACATAGATGTTTGTGTCTGCAAAGCCAGCAAGGGAATTTATGTCTTTGCAAGAAGATCACAATTTTATGTAATATAATCAGATATTATTGCATACATGCCATCATCTTCATGTATTTTTTGTACATAAGGGTCAGTGTTTAGGGGGAGATTTGGTGTAGTGTAACTGATGGGTCATAGATTATATTTAATATTTTGTAGTTCTGCTAAATGTTAGCATATTAATTTAAATTTAAACTTCTTTTTTTTCCTTCTTCCTGGTGTCAATATTACACCAAAGACAAGAAAATATTCTATTAATGTCACTTCGGAAATCTCTCAATTCCACGAATTGTCAGTTTATTAATAATTTTTTGACTAGTAGGATTATTTCACTTGAAATGTTAGCTGTAAGAAAAAAAATATGTAGCATGGACCAGTGTTCTTCAGAGTCTCTTCCGTGGATCATCTACATCAGAATCAGCTGATGCTTGTCCAGGATGTGTATTGTAGTTCCTCACATACTAAATCAGAAAGCTAGGGCGAGAACCTAGAAATCTGTATTTGTATAAAACAGCTCAGGTGACTCATGCATACTAGCATGTGAAAACTACTTGTTTTACTACTTACAGGAAATAGTAATAGTGTCAAAGTGTAGAAACTAACAACTGCCTCTATAAGCTCAGAAGAAAGCTTACTTGTAAAGATATGCTGCTTTATGTATTGTTAACAAAGATATAGAAAACCTTTTGGTGTTCATTTCCTATTCTTGTGTAATTTTGAACCCAAATGTACAATTATATCTTTACCTAATAATTTCTTCATCATTAGAGTATGTTTAATTTAAATTCACTCCAGCTGTAGCTATTTGTTTATATTTTCAAGTATAGTTTGCTATATAACTTGATATTTATATCTTTGTTTTACTCATAGGTTTTAGGGGAATATTCCTACCTCCTAGATAAGGAAAAACCAGAGGAAGTTATTACCAAGCTATATAAATTACTTATGAATGACTCCATTTCTTCAGAAACAAAAGCCTGGTTAATTGCTGCTGTGACCAAGTTGACACCCCAAGTGCACTCTTGTAACATAGTTGAGAAATTAATCCAGGAATTTACTGTATCTTTAGATACTTGTATGAGACAGCATGCATTTGAATTAAAACATTTGCATGAGAATGTTGAACTTATGAAGAGCCTGCTTCCAGTTGATAAAAGTTGTGAAGACATGGTGGTAAGACATCTGTGTTCCATCTTCTTAAAACTTGCATTGTCTTTAAACACAGAATAATTTTTGCATTTGTGATATATCGGAAATATCAAAATACAGTTTCTGTAGCACTTACGATGAAGGTTGGAGTTTTTCTTCCATTAATATAAGTGACAGTTTGAGAACTTCCATTCAGTTGTGATCCTAAACAAGAGTGGAAGAGTATCTCTTCTGGAGAACTGCAGTAAAGGGATTTATTCCCCCTGTAAAACTCTCTTCCCATATGTAACTCAAGGATTTCTTTTATTGTTATCTCTTTTGAGTTCTATGATATATGCCATTTTATTATTATTCTGTTTTCCTTGAGAATATAAAAGAAATAGTTTTCATTTTATTTAGTCTATCTACTATCTAAATTCTTTATCACTTGGGAACCTTACCAGCTAACTTTCCTTCCACTTACTTTCAGCCCATCTCCTCTTTTAGTGCTTAAAGTTACTTCTAATCCTTCAAAATCATGCTAGTCTCTTCCTCAGATTGATATAAATCAGAAACATTTCAAAAGCCAAATTTATTCACATTTTTATAGTTGAGAAAGAGGAGATAATGGGCAGTATTCATTAGTTCTTTCAAAAGTTCCTTTTTTTTTTTTTTAAAGATTTATTTATTCATGCATACAAGAACCGGGGTACAGGCCAGATGTGTGGGAGGGTGAGAGGATTCCTTAAGGACAGATGCCTTGCCTTAAGGCATTCCAGTGAATGTTCTTTGAAATGGTAAATGAATACAATGTGTATAGAATTAAACTAGGAAGTAACTACTCTTTCCCTTTCCTCTAATAAAAGACAGTGATGACACAGCATCATCTGTTAAGATCTTATTGAAACTAAACATTTCCAAATTCAGAGTGTGAGATGCTACTAAAATATTTGAGAATTACCTGTTGTTCTAAATTATCTGAGCTGATTGCATGCACTTGGCTATATCATGAGAAGCAAATCTGTGGTTTCTGAGATCATCATCACTGGTATTATCCTTTTGTGTATATCTTGTTTTTCATTTCTTCCTTATTTTTTCTTACCTATTTTCCCCTTTTTTCTTTAATCATTCTTTTATATCTTTCTGTTCTTATTGAAATGAAGTAATTTTTAATCAGTTTGTGAAAAAACATTTTCAAATTTAAAGGGGATAGGATAGATAATGGTTATGTGGGAGGCTGAATAATGGCCCAAGAAAGATGTCCATGTATTAATCACTGGAATCTGTCTTTGTTACCTTATATGTTAAAAGAGATTTTTTAGATGTGATTACATTAAGGGTTTTGTGATAGGGATATTTATTCTGGATTATCCATGTGGCCATGATACAATAAAAAGTGACCTTATAAAATTAAGGCAAGAGTTCAGAGAGGAGAAGGCAAAATAACATTAGTATTAGAGATAAGAGTGATGGGACCATAAGCCAAAGAATGCTAGCAACCTCTGGATACTATAAGAGACAAGGAACTTAGTCTTGTCTGGAACCTCACAAGAAATCAGTCTTAACAACACCTTAATTTTAATCCTCAGTAGCAGGAAACTAATATAGATGCTGTAATTCATAGTGTGTGTGTGTGTGTTCTCTCCTAGTAGGTTACAGGCTCTCGAAGGTAGAAATTCTGTCTTCCTTTGTCTCAATTAATGCACCTAAAATGCTGGCTTAATACAATGGATGCTCAAAAATGTGTTCTGCTTTGCAGGGAAATTAATAATAATTGCAAATGATTTGTTAGGGCCTTAGCTTTGGGAGGTTTGATTAGAGATGTTTCAGAAAACTAGACATTTGGTAGCACTTTTATTATAAAATTGAAGTTCTATTTTGCAATTAAAAATTGTTTTTAGGATATATGGGCTGAAGTTATTTGAATGTACAGTTTATTTAGGATAAAAAATTTTTAATTCATAATTTTTGCTTCATTTTAATGAAGGTAGATGCTTCCTTATCTTTTCTGGATGGTTTTGTGGCTGAAGAACTCAGTCAGGGGGCAGCACCTTACAAACCTCACCACCAAAGGCAGGAGGAAAAGCTTTCTCAGGAAAAAGGTAATTTTTCTTGGTTTATAGTAAACTAGATCATAGGGACATCATTTTTTTTTAAAGATTTCTTTTTTTTTTAAGATTTACTTATTTATGCATATAAGAACTGGGGGGAGAGAGGTTTCACCAGAGACAAAGTAGGGAGCAGAATAGACAGATTGAAATACACTGCTGAGGAGAGCAGTGGGTGAGACAGGAGAGGTCTGCTGTGCCATGTGTGGGTTAGCTCCCTGGCTGGGGATTAAACTCATGCTGTAGCGGTGAGAGTGTTAAGACTTAACCCTTAGGCCACCACGGGGAGGCCCCTTTTTATTATCTTTCTTTAAATCTGCTTATGATTTGTTTACCCCACCTAGATTTTTGGATATCCTGAAAAAAATTTAGTCTAGCAGTATTCCCATAGTCATAAGCTCCATCTACGTAAAGCACCAATGATAGGATAGTTACGATGGAATTTCGAAAGAACTTGAAGGTGGAGTTATCTTGTTGGTCATTGTGCTAGAGAGCTGACAGATATGAACCAGGGCTGCAGAAAAGTTTCTGGAAAAAACTGGTTATATGAACTAATGAGCTTCATTTTCATTCTGAGCAATCTTAAATATTTTAAGTGTATTGGAATATTTCCTCCAACAAAGTGTCTGATCAGCAAAGTTCACAATAGTTAAGAAAGGAAAAAATAACTTCATATTTAAAAAATGTAGCCTCTTAGGGAATGACTTCTTGGTCATGATTTTGGTAGAGGAAATCTTCGAGCTATTTGGGTGGTGAAAGGGATGTATATATATATGCATAAAGGGAGACCACTGAATGTATCTATATAGGAGTTCAGAATGTGAATACTGAAAAGTCAGTGTTGAAACGTGTTTTGTTCCTATTCACTAATGATTTTATTGAGAGCTTATTATTTTCCAGGCTCTGTGCTAGACATAATCAGTTTTGAGTCCAACTAAATGATTGATCTTAAAATGAGACCAAAAAGTTACAAATACTAGTCATAGACTTGATGCTATCTTTTTACAGAAGTATTTCCTCTTTTAAGGCTTTTGACACGTTACTTAGCTCAGTGTACCTAATGACCTAGAACAATTTAGTTCTCTCTCAAAGAATAGTCACTTTCCCTCCTATGAACTACTTAAATATTTATGGAATGTTTTGTGGGGGAAAATTAAGTTTTAAGTTACAATTATTGTGCATATGACTATAGTTCATATAAGAACCTGTGATATGCTAGGCCTGATGTTCCTGATGTTCCACGGTAGGAGACATAGTCCATGGCCATATTTCCTTACCATACCCGTATTTCCTTACCATAGCAATATTTCCTTATTTTCACATGAGGAAATATGGGTAGGAAAGAAGAGGTAGGTTGAAGAGCCGAATTCTTGGTATCACTTGTCTTCTTTCTTAAAGTAAGTTAAATGGCTGACACAAATATAATAGCCCTGGAATTCCCCAAATTAATGCATTCCTCTGCCAAGTATATTTTTTCCCACAGAACTATCATTATAAAGATGATGGTTCTCAAATCAGGTTCTTCCTCTTTCCTCCCAAAACTATTCTTTTAAGTACTCTAGAGTACAATTGAAATTTCGTGCTCTATCTACATCATATATAGACTATCTATAGCATAGAAAAGGAAAGTAGTTATGAAACAGGATATAGTGAGTACTAAATAAATATTTGAGGAATAAGTCACAAAAATTACTATCTTGGAATTGAACTGGCTATAACATAGAAAATAAAGAATAAGGGGAAATTAGGTATTTTTTGTGTAAAAAGTTTTTAATTCTGTAATCCTTCAATTATCAGTAATTCTGAAACTGATCTTGAGATTTTCATAAATCACTTGCAGAAAGTAGTAGCTAGTCAGTGATACTTAGCTCTAGGGTAGACAAATGCCTAGTTTATAAGAATAAACTTCAGGGAAATGTTGTAAGATACTAAGAATTGGCAAAAAAAAAAAAAAAAACTGGAATGATGGGAAACAGACTTTATTACCAGTACCCTCCCAAAGAAAAGCATTTAGGTATCAGTGTGGACTATTCTATTAAAACATTATTGGCATATCTTACAGCCGCAATGTTAGAGACAGCCAGGAACAGTTTGGGAAAACAGCAGTATGATTTCCTATCTACAGAATTACGGCTTTAAAAAAAGATGTCACATTGAAAAAATAATAACTGGGGTCAGTCAGAGTAGTTTTTAGCCAAATGATCACAATATGAAAGAACTGCAGTATGGAGTATGAGAAAGGAGTGTATATAATCATATAAAGAAGTGTGCATATTATCAGGGCCTCTAAAGTCACAAAGGTTGTGATCAGGTCAAATATTGATTTACTCACTTCTGCTGAGGATACTTTACTTTTTATCTCTCCCTGGATTACTTCAGTAACTCCTAACCCCCATGGACTCTGCCTCCAGCTAATGCTTTCTCTTCTGCATGAATTGTCCTTTGCCCTCACTATTCATCTGGTTAATAACTGCTGTGTATTCGTTAAAGTTTCAATTCAGCCATCTTCTTCCTTCTCCTGACTTTTTCTGCATACCATTCTCTGTCTCTCGCTCCCCACATGTACACACTCTCTAATACATCTAGTTAACTCTTAGAAATCTGACTCTTCTAGTCATTTACCACTAAAAGGACTTGGGAAATGTTCACTAAAGAATGAAAATGATGTGATTTGAACTTTATTTTCAACTTCGAGCCTTTCCAGGCCTTCCTTAGATGACAACCTTTATTCTTTTCTCTCAGGATTGTCATTTTATCTGCCTACTCTGCAGAGGCTTTCCCCTTCCACATCTATTCATTTTCTCTCTTCTCTGAAGAGAGAAATTTTGAATTCTTCTTCTCTTTATGTTTAAATTCATTATCTTAATTGCTCTTTGACTTAAATTCTTGGTCTTCCCTTGTGCATAGGAAACATTTCTTGAGATTTCTTGAGCTATTCACTCTTACTGAAAGTGTTAATGCAGAGGCTGATGACTGTCGTAGATGCTATTAAAAAGAGGCCAATATGGGATAGAAGGTTAGGCTAGATGATTGAAAAGCTTAAGATGAGATGTTCTGGCTGAAAAGAACCTTAGAGATTTTTAAAAATGGCTTCCACCTATGATTATGAATCAGAATCATAAAGTTTTCAAAGTTGATGCAGACTATTAAACATTATTCCTTTACATTCTGTATCTGAATCTCTGAAAGCTGAACTGTATGTATAAAAAAGGTCTGTGGGAGGTTTTATGAAGTCAACTTGATCCTGGTTATCAAATCAACATTTGGAAACTACTGAACTTGTCTGAGTCCTACACTTTACAAAGAAATTAGGTCTAGTTCACACTCAGAGTTAACACCTACCTACATCAAGAACTCAGTTCTTCTAATTATTTAGCACTTTTTGGCTACTGCACATTGATTCATCTTCTGTATAACTCATTCAGCTAACAAACAAGCATATAGATAGTAATATTTGGATAAGGTCCCCTTTACTTTGGAATAGGCAATATTAAGTTTCTTTGTAATCTGGGGTAAGTTTATGGCAAACTCTGCCAGTTTCCTCATTAGTCAAATTAGGATTATAATCACAGAAGTTAACATTTGTATTATCTAAGATAATTAGATAATTTAAGAAGATCCTTTGTGTTGTAATTTAGATAGCTCAAAAAGATAAATATGATTAGAACTAGGTTTAACTAAATAAATAGCATGTTAGAAAACAAAGACAGTTTTGCTCTTTCCCATTAAAGAAATCCTGAAAAGGACAGCCTAGAATTGATGATAGTTTTCTGAATCTAGAAGAGGAAAGCAGAGAAGGAAGATTTTTTTCTTCCGGGGGTATTCCTCCCAGAAGTTACATGTAAAATATATGCATAGTTTCATTGGCCTGAACTTAGTCACATGGCAAAGGAGTCTGGAAATGCCATCTCTTCCCTGGGTGGCTGTGTACCTAAGATTCAAAGGCTTTTTTATTTAGAAAGAAGAAGAGAATGGATGTTGGCTTCTGCTCTACCATGATAACAATATAAATTTTCATGGCTCTGATTGGATTCATTTGCATTATAAAGACTCAAAGTGAACCTTGTTCTTTATTACTAAGGGAGATTTCACATTGAAGGCTCCATCAGTCCATTTGGCACTGGAATGTGTACAAGAGCATTTTGTTAAGTGAAACTGGTCATATTTTCATTCATAGCTCATTTTGCACAAGAGCAGTGACTTTTCACTATACCTGGTTTATCAGTTGTCTTTCCTAATGAAATCCTTTCTTATCTTCTAAGGGAGGTAAAGTAAAAATGAAGGACAGCTTGTCTTTGAACAACTAGTACTGCAAAGATGCATAGTAGATTTTTTTTTTCCATCTTTTTTTGTACTGGTTTACAACCAATATAAAACAGTGGTTTTGAAACACTATGTATGAATCAGATCTTGTAGTTATTTTCAGTAAATCTTAACTGCATTATTATTAATGTAACTATTTTATTAGACCATCTGTAAAATCTAAAAATTGTTTCTGGATTCCATTCTTTTTTAAAATTTTTTAATTTATAGTTTACATCATTGTTCATTTTTAAACAATATTTGCTTCCCACCCCCTCCCTCAGGTGTAGTCCCCATAGAGTTTCCTTCACCAGTGCACCTCTGCATCATCACCACAGCCCCTGTGCTCCTCCCTCCTTCCCTCTGATTGGATTCCATTCTTGAATTATAAATGGCCAGACCAGGTCTTTTGCTCACAACCAGAAAGCCAAACTCTGAACCACAAGATAAGTCTTTATGTGGAGGAGTTTGTTGTATGAGATGACCACCAAGGAAGTCAGCGAAGTTAGCACCTTAATGAAGTTAAATGGTGGGAGCGCTGTGACTGAATAAGGGAGGAAGGAATGTGAGGAGAGTGTGGCACTTTGTATTTCCACGTCCAAGGAGGTGCTGGGCAGTCTAGGCGACATGAGTCAAGTCGTTTAACTTTCCCTCCAGGGTGTTTTCTCAGTAATAAGATGTTTTCCATGCCACTGTCAACCTCAGAGGCACAGAGAATTTTTGTTAGGGATGTAACACAATCATTTTTTCCTAATTTCCAGAAATGCAGTTGGAGCAAGTCAGTGGTTAACCATAAGAAAAGAGTAGAGGGAGTACAGTCGGAATGAGTTAACAGTTAAACATAGGAGAGTAGGGAGCAGAGAATGCAAAAAGTGATTAGTATTTAATTCTACTTAGGGGAGTTTTTATTGCAAAGTGGAGGGGATCCACCTACCCAGTTGTTTTAGTAGTCGTTGGTCACTTTGAATAATCTTTGCTTTATTTTAAATGTGAACCTTTTAATTGTTTTAAAATTCTAGTTCTCAATTTTGAACCATATGGACTCTCTTTTTCTTCATCTGGCTTCACTGGACGACAGTCTCCTGCTGGCATTTCTCTTGGTTCAGATATATCTGGGAATAGTGCGGAGACAGGACTGAAAGAGTAAGTTCCTTTCTTATTAAAATTGAGCATATGGGAGTGTTTAAATGTCTTTAAGCATTCCATTTGCCTTCTTCTGCTTTGTACCATCTTGATCATTATTTGCTTTTTTTTAGGATAACTTCCAAGAAGTTATATCAGTGGTCTTTAGTTTTCAAAGGGAAAGGCACATTAGTAACAATGTGTTTTAATGTAATAGCTAAATTCTGCATGGACTATTAACTGGTTCTATTTATTGTTCTTGAGGTGTTGATACTGTACAATATGTTCTTTAAGAACTCACTTGCCTTCCAAGACGGCATAGGATATATACAAGCTTTATCCATAGTAATAATGTATAAATTGAATTTATATATGTACATATAAAATATGGAATAGAATGTAGATACACACACATATATTTATCTAATTTTTTAAAAGAAGCATATCAAAACTTATGCACCCAGGTGAATATTCAGATTTCTTTCTGTATTGCTTATCTTTGTGTCATTCTTCTGATAAATAGCCCTTATAACTCTCTCGTTGGAACAAATAGAGACGGGCATAAAATAAGGTGACTAACTTCATCTGAGAATGCTTTGTATTCTTTGTTCAGAGTGCTTTCAGAGCTTCTCTCCAGATAACTGGTGATACCTATGTGTAAATATCTCATGTGGATCCAAATCTTCATACTTTTTAGTTAGACTTTGATTTTAGAAATGTAATTAAATTGATTTTAGAAACATAAGTAAGTTGATAAAATGAGTGTAAGTTACCTCTTACTACCCAGGGCATAGTAAATGATCAATAAATGGTAAGTGCTATTACGATAATAATTGTCATTGCCATGATTGGCCTCATTATCCAAAAGCTGAGTTTACCAAATAAAATTGGTGATCAAAGGTGGATAACTTTGGTCAGCATTTTGATATGACATAAAGCAAGTAAATGTGATAAAATTTTAAAGGTGACAGCTCTAAAAGATGGCATTTGAATTTTGAGTTCTCATAATGTTCATTAAGTAATTTTATGTTTGTCTTTGCATTTGTCACTCTTACAATGAGATGGTTTTAAGAAGTACTTACCAGAAGAGTGACATGTACTGATAGATTAAGGAGTGTAAAATGATATGCTGAATAAAATGGCATAAATTCAAATTATCTTTCTTATCCTTTTTTTCCTACTCTCTTGTCCACCTTCTTTTCTTTCCCAGTCATTTAATTTTGGTACTCCTCGCAGGTTTGTGGGCATGTGATGGTGTAGTAATAGCAATGAAATGCCCTAAATAGAACAGGGAGTCAAGGGAAAAAGAGAGAGATAGGAACCCTCCAGACCCAAGGAGGAAACTTACACATTTTCTTTCACCTGTGCAATAGGTGATAGCAATTGCTTTTCTTTAGTATTGAAGTAGGATCTGGGAAATATGACAAGACCTTATAAATTCCCTATGTATATGTGTGCTACCCTCAGAGAAGTGACATTCGGAAATGCTGTTTGGGAATTATACATGCTGCATTACCATGGAATGGGACATGAGGAGGGATGAATTTTAAATTTATTTCCAAAGAGGACTACAGCTTACACATTATTTCAGACTTGGAACCTATGTGGTAATTGGCAAGATACATCAACTTTAGTGGAGAGACCATAGCTCTTCTGCAGTAACTAGCAACTGAGAATAAACCCAATTTAAACTTTCTTACTTGTGTATCCTATTACAGGGCAGCACCCTACCTCAAATGGGAATTCCTAGAGCTGAATTGAAGTATATAACTAATCTTTTGACGGTTGCTTTGCCAGAGTTTATATTTGTGTTTAAATGGTCTGATTAAAAGCAATGCAAAGTATACCATCAGTGTTGTCAAAATCAGGCAAAGATGACAATTTAAAAAATTCATTTACAGTAAGTTTCATATCATAAAGAAGCGTATTTTGTATATGAATGACTTTATGCTGCTCTTATTTATTTTGCTGCTTTTTTTAAAGACTATGTAATACGTGGCAGAGAGATTATTTATGTTGATAATAAGCATGTATGCAGATGAAATAAGCTAGAAAACTCATTAAAATTGCAGGAGTGATGTAAAATATATATATAAATAAATAGATTTAAACAACTGGAGGTTCCTTTTAGGTTCCCTTTCCCTCCCCTTTCCCCTTTAACCTGTTGATAAGGATTGGGCTCCCCAGGATGTGCATTCCACAATGGAATTCTAGCATACATAGTATTGAGGAGTGCCCTTGGGATCAGCCACTATGGAAGGCAGGAGAAAGAAGCAAGTTTAGGCAGAGTGAGTAGTTAGATGCAGTATAGTGTCAATGACAACCTCTGCTGACCCCATAGGGAACTCTAAAACTAGAATGGCCTCTCAGAGTTATATTGATTTGGGCCTAAAGAGGTTCCAGGACTTTATGCTTATATTCATCAGTCATTAGATGTAGGCTCCCCTCAGAAGGAGTGTGTTCTCAGGTGAGGTGGCACTCTGCAATTGGGGCATTCCTGAAGCTGTTGCCAACAGTTGTGGCAACACGTCCTTCCTTTAAGGAGGATCTGGCTGGAGCATCCATTGCCCACCACACCTGTCTTTTTTGTTAAACTAGTATTTGAAGCATTTATTAGTAAAACTAGGGGAATTGCTATTTTTTTTTTTTAAAGAAAGGATATGTTTTGTTAAAAGGAATGACAGAAACACTGTAATCCTGCTGTGGGTACTCATGAATCCCATGAGTTGCTGCTTTTGAGCATCTTAGAGTTCCTGGGGACATTTTAGTGGTTCCCATCAACCTTTTGGATTTGCTTGTGGAGGGACAACCAGTTTTTTTAAATTTATTTTATTTTTATATTCCCCATACAATTACAACCCCCTTATTTTGACCCCAATCCCTCCTTTCCCCGCCCCCCCACCCCCCATAGTGTGTCTCTGGTTCATAGTTGTTTGTTGATTTTGATATTTTCTTTCTTATAGTTATTCATTTTCTTGGTCCCTTATTTAAGTTTTCTAGATTCCTGCTATGAGTGAGACCATCTGGTATTTTTCTTTTTCTTTCTGGCTTATTTCGCTGAGCATGATCCCTTCCAGCTCCATCCATGTTGCTGCAAATTGCATGTGTTTATCTTTTTTGAATGCTGAGTAATATTCCATGGTGTATATGTACCATATCTTCTTGATCCAGTCATCTATTTTGGGGCATTTAGGTTGGGACAACCAGTTTCATTTTAAGAGCGCTGACAACTAAGTTTTTATTATTTTAAAACTTAAAAAAAAATTCTTCTTGTACCTGAAAGAGAAGGAGGTTTTTGTAAATGAGCTTTCAGCAGTAAATATTGAGGAGGAATAGACTAATTCCCTGGATGGATTCTTTATTTACATTCAGGTTTTCTTTCTTTCTCATTTTGAAGTTTCACCACTTGTATTTGTTTTTGGCCTACTATGACTATGGAAAATCAAATTGATAATGATTCCAACAAAATTAGAATGGAATAATAATCAATCATTTCATTTTTATGGAAGTACCTTTATAGTAGTTGAAAATGTAGCTAGTGTTCACATTAAGAAGCCCTTGTGGATTAAAGGTAAGTTTATATGTAGGAGTGAATTTGAATGATTTTTTTGTTGTTTCAACAGGGCTTTATTTTGTGAATTTATGTAGAGCGCCTTCATTGAGTGATTATAGCTAAGAAACTTAATAGTCAACATTGATCTTTAACCCTGTAGAATGAAAGATATTTTTGAAAAGTCAATGAGGGAATGGAATGAATGACAGTAGTTCTATTTTTTTTTTTAAGATTTATTTATTTATATAAGAACCCGGGTACAGGCCAGATGCGTGGGAGGGTGAGAGGATTCACCAGAGACACAGAGGGGAACAGAACAGGCAGACTGAAGAAATACACTGCTGAGGAGCAGCGGGCGAGACAGGAGAGGTCTGCTTCACCATGTGTGATTCTCGCTGGCTGGCCGGGATCGAACCAGCACTGCAGAGGCTGAGGATAGCTTCACAGCATGGCGCTCAACTGCCTGCGCCACCAGGGAGGCCTGACAGTAGTTCTATTTTTAAATAGATGCAGATGAAATTAGCAATTAAATAACCTGGAGTTTTAAAGTAAGTCTAAATTTCTCTTACTTTAAATCTTTTGGCTGGAGCATGGAAAAGGGAATATAACTAAAATAAAATCTGGCATAAAGTATATAATATAAAAACTATTTCTAAAAGATTATGGTAATGATGTTTTTTAAAAATGCCTCAAGAAAGTAACTGTTTAGAATTGATTTAAATTGACTTGTTTTCATTGTCAATCTCCTTAGGACAAATAGCTTGAAGCTGGAAGGCATAAAGAAACTGTGGGGGAAAGAGGGCTATCTTCCCAAGAAGGAAAATAAAACCGGTGATGAAATTGAAGCTCCAGCTGTTCCTCAAGAGAGTATAATAATCGAAAATGTAGATCAAGCTATAACAAAAAAGGATCAGTCTCAACTCCTTACCCAATCTAAAGAGGAGAAAGAAAAGTATCTTTTGGCATCATCATTATTTGTTGGCCTGGGATCAGAAAGTACAATTAGTTTGGTAAGTAGTAATATTCCTCTGAGAATCTATATTCCTTGTTTTGGCAAAAAAAATCCGGCTCTATAAAAGCTCTTGACTGTGGCTTCCCCAGCTCCAGAGCCACCAACGACATACTTTTTATATTCCTGAGAGAAAGTTCTGACTCAGCTTGAGTCACATGTTCTCTCTAGTCCAGTCAGCTGACGCAGGAGTCCGGGTCCAAATAAAGTTACAAATAGGATCTTTGGTACTCTCATTACCATGGATGAACAAAACAGTTAGGGGGCTTAATGAAAATATTGTCAATAATGATAGTTAACGATGTTGATATATCTAGGGAAAAAATACTTCTTAAAATGAAACTTTAGTTGTAAAAAGTAAGATTTTCTTTTTTCTTTTTTTTTTTTTTTTAAGATTTATTTATTTATTTATTTATTTATTTATTTATTTATTTATTTATTTATACAAGCACTGGGTACAGTCAGAAGCGCGGGAGGGTGAGAGAATTCACCAGAGCCAGAGCAGGGAGCAGAGCAGGCAGAAGGACCCAAGTACACTGCTGAGGGGAGCAGCGGGCAGCAGGAGAGATCTGCGCGCCATGCGGGACCCTCCTCCGGTGGCCGGGGAGCAGCTGGGGATTGAACTGGCGCTGCAGAGGCTGCGGGCAGCTTTGCAACCCAGTGCTCAACCGCTGCGCCACCAGGAAGGCCCAAAAGTAAGATTTTCTTTAAAAAACAAAAAAAAAAAAAACAAAAAAAAAAAAACAACATGGCTAGACCTCTGGGCACTAGCTCTTGAAATTTATTTTTTAATTTTTAAAAAATATTTATTTATTTATTTATACAAGCACTGGGTACAGTCAGAAGCACGGGAGGGTGAGAGAATTCGCCAGAGCAGAGAACAGAGCAGAGCAGGCAGATGAAGTACACTGCTGAGGGAGTAGCAGGCGGCAGGAGAGGTCTGTCGCGCCATGTGGGACCCTCGCCGGCAGCCGGGGATTGAATCGGTGCTGCAGAGGCTGCGGGCAGCTTCATAGCCCAGCGCTCAACCACTGCGCCAGCAGGGGAGGCCCTGTAAAAAGTAAGATTTTATTTAGATGTCTAACAGTAAGAGAATTAGCCAGACTATCATTCAGCCATTAAAAATGGTAAATGCTTGCCTTGTAAAGTAAAAAAATGATTATGATATATTAAACAAAACAAACAATATAAAGTTCTACTTACACATTGTTCACAAATGCTAAGAAGATAAAAATGTATTTGTACCAAAAGGAATTAGGCAGAAATGAAATTACAGTGCTAATTTTCAAAGCTTTTTATGCTAATAGATCGTTCTCACAGTCAAAGAATAAAAAATAGGCATGAAAACAGTTGCCTTTTTTGAGCATCTGGGAGTTCCTTGTAACTTTCTATTTGGTAGGGTAGTAAGCCTGACTCGTGCAAAATTGTGATTAGAGCTAAATTTTCTTTACCTTTATGTCATCCCAGTTTTTTCATCCTGCTTCTCAATTGTTAGAACTTTCCATTCCTGGTGACACCAGGCTGGATGGTATAACACACTACACTGTTTACCTATGTCCCTCTCTTTTCCAGACCTGTTTCTGTCAGATTTGATTCACTCTCCTAAGAAAAAACAAATACAGCCTAAAAGTACTACTAAGTACTGTATCTTAATACTGTCTCAGTTACTCTTTGCAATTCAGCACCAAAGTGACTGATCTTAGGGCTTTAAGTTGTTCCAGCTCACTGTTGTAAGGGCACCAGTGAATGCGATGGCCCTGATGGGACAAATTCTCAGTGGTCAGAGTGTACGCAGGACAGAGTGCTCCCCAGCTGATGAAGTCCTGATTTGTGAACCTCAGTGCTTGTGTTGAAGGATTTTTGTCTTAACAAAGTATGTAGCTTTTAGTTAATCTTTCTCAGGAGAGCATTTAGGGTGACAGATTAGTATCAGACTTTTTTGTGGTGAATTTGAAGTCAGAAATGTAATTAAAGATTTTTTTCTATTTAAGTCATGCTAAATTCTTCTTGCATTTACCCCTTATACTTTTCTCCCCCTCCCCCCAGCTATCATTAAAATAGTAAAAAAAATAGCAAAATGTGTATTTTCCTGTTTTATGGGACTCTGAATTCTGTGAGAAACTGTTTATAATGCAGATGGCATCTGCAGAAAGAAGGAAAAGCAAATGACTACAAAAAATTAGCATATGTCCTTTCACCCCTCATGCCCAAACTTTCCTCTGTCACTAGAGTAAAGCAGATAGGACTAGCACCAACCAGATATGTTCCATCTGTATGATGCCTCTTTTTGGATGGCTACTTTCTCTAGCAATCTTTCCTAATGTTTTTTCTAATATTTAAAGTTCTAGTTACATAGATTAAAGCTATATTGGTGTTTCATTTTAACTAGCTTTTATTTGTTAGGTCTGTGGTCCATTTTGAGTTAGTTTTTAAATATAGTTCATAAGGGTCAAATATTTTTTCTCCCCATCTTTATCTTTAATTTCACCCTCACTTTTTAAAGATTTTTTTTGGGTTGACTGTTTCTTTAAATATTTTAACAAAGGTATCACTCTAGTGTTTTCTGTCATGTGTAGATTCTGATTAACTGCAGATTAGACAGTGCAGCAGAAAAGATCATTAAATTTGGATACAAAGTAATAGAAATTATAAAACATGAAACTCAGAAAAAAGGAAAGACAAAACAAAGAAAAGCACCAGAGTACTGTTGGTCTGAAGAGCAGTATCTAGCCATTTAATATATTTCTAATTTGAGTCCCAGGACTCCTGGAAATGGAAGTCCTTCGCCCCTGTTTTTGTTTCTATGTCAGCAGAATGTTAGTTCTTGTTTGATGACTTCCAGATTGAGAGGTAGGAGACAAACTAACTCATCCGTTGAGCGTTGGAAGAATTGTTAGGGCTTTGGGGATGGAGAAGGTATGAAAAGGGAACTAGAATTCTGACTAACTAGAGTCATGGAAAGGTTGGCCACACAGTATTGAAGCCTCCAGGAGGATGGAGACATGAAGTTAGAGTAGTGGTGGTCTCTGCACCAGGTCTCTGCACCTGAAGCAGGTAGAACTTTGTGAGCAAAGGAATACTTGAGTCATCACCCTGCTTACAGGGTCTCGCAGACCATTCTTCAGGATAACTCAAGGATGGCAAATTTGGTTGTTCCTGTCTTGAGCCTGTAGCAAGCATCAGTAATAGAGTTCTTTCCAGTTGACTCTAAGGTAAAATCAATTTTTCTTCCCTGAAGAAAATATATTATAGATAATGGAGCCAGAATTTGGACTATCACATTTGAGGCTCTCCAGCTTCTACAAGCCAAATCTAGAAACTCAAAAAATGGCTGCATTCACTTTTTTTAATTTGTGCAGTAATGACCTCTAGTATTCTGTAATCTAACAGGTTTTAAGAATTTTTCATGATTGACTTTTTCACCTTATTTCATTTTCTGACTTCATGAGAAATAAGATTTATCTAATAAACTTATGTAGCTGTTAGAATTTTAGGGCATACAATTTTATTCATTTCTTTGTTAATCTATGTTTTATAGATGGAACCATAACAACTTAGTGAATTGCTCATTTGAAATTACACTTAAAACTCGTGACTAATAGCATGATTTCTTTTTATGTTATTGTTAAATTTTGTTTTTACAGCTAGGAAAAGCAGATACCACCCCTCACAAGTTCAAAAAGAAATCAAAAGTCAAGGAAACCAAAAGTGAAGAAACAACCAGTGTTCAGATTACAGCTTGTTCTTCCTTTAGTTCTTCGTCAGATGTGACTTACGAAGAAAGTTATTATTTGGGTAATTTGCCGGACAGAGGAGACAAAGATTTAAGGAAACTTCCTCTCAATTCAGAACTTTTGGATTCTGAGTCACTCAAAGAACAACGCTTGGTTGAAAAACTCTCAAATTGTAGGCTTTCTACTCCTTCTTTATTTGCTGATAGTAATATGGAAGTTTTTCACTCTCCTGAATCCACTGCAGTTGCCAGTGAAATCTCTTTAGCTGCTTCTTTGTTGGAAGAAGCAACTGAACACATGTACTCAGATCTTACGGAGGTGTGTAATAATGAAACTATATCAGTGTCTTCTTACAAAATTTGGAAAGACGATTGTTTACTGATGGTTTGGTCACTTTCTAATAAGAGTGATTTAAAGTTGGAAAGTGCTAACTTAGAAATTTCTCCTGCAGAAAATTTCAAGGTAAGACAATGAATGATTCCTTACTTCTGCCTTAAATGAACAGTACTTGCAAAGTATTTCTGCTGTTGACTCTTTTTTTTTAATATTTATTTGCTTTCTTTGCACAGAACTGGGGTATAGGCCAGAGGTGCAGGGGGCGAGAGGATTAACCAGAGACAGAGTCAGGAGCAGAACAGGCAGATCTGAAGTACACTGCTGAGGGGAGCAGCGGGTGAAGCAGGAGAGGTCTGCTGTGCCACAAATGGATTAGCTCCCTGGCCGGGGATTGAATTCCTGCTGTAGCAGTGATAGTACTGAGACTTAACACCTGGGCGACCGGGAGGCCCCTCTGCTGTTGACTCTTTTGATGATTTATGTTTCTTCCACATTCTTCTTTCTTCTTTAGCAAAGAAAATGAAAGGTGTTACAGTTTTTTTAATATTTGTAGTAGAGACAAGAAAGACAGTAAACAAAAAAAGATTGTATTGAGGAAGGTCATAAATATAAGCTGAGTTTCAAAAATGAAGCACAGTAGTTAAGAATGTAGGCTCTTAAGTCAGGTAACTTGACATTGAATCTTCCTTCTGCTGCTTGTTAGTTTTGTTACATGATCCAGTATGTAATTGTTCTGTGGTTCAGTTTCCTCATGTTTAAAAATGAAGATATTAAATAATAGTGTGTCCCTGCTGCTGTGAGGATTAAATGAAGTTAATAGCTGTACAGTGCTTATAGCAGTACATGGCATGTGATGTTACTGTGTTGTTATTTTCATTGTGTATTTTGTGTTGTTTTCTTGCAATCTTTAAATGTTTCATTCATTCTTCATAAGCACTGAGACAGAATGCTCAATATGACATCAGAAAACCAAGTAAGAACATTGAAGGATAATTGTGTATTCTCTCTACTTTTTCTCTCACTGATTTGCTATTCTTTATTGAGTGCCATTGTGTCAGTTCTACTTCCCTAGCTCTGGGTGATGGTCATTGTGACTTCTGGATGTATACTTAATTACATTGCTATGGGTGCTTCTTTGTGGAGATATGATATTTCACAAACTGACCCAATTTCTTCTCTAAGCTAGAATGTGTTTAATAAGATCTCACCTGGGCTGATGACCAGGGCAGAGCTTCCTCACTCTAGGTGTGCATTAGAGTCACCGTGGAGCTTAAAAAAAAAAAAAAAGACAAACCCAACTCATGTACTTGAACTTTACCCCAGAGTTTGAGTGACACTGGAGAATAAGAAGGGTAGACATAGGTTTTTTTTAGACTCCCCCACTTTTAAAAACCTGGTACTAGCCAGGATTGAGAGCTATAAGACTAGAGTTTATTAATCTTTTTGTTGTTAAATTAGACAGAGGTTTTTATTGTAATGCCACTTGTTACATAACTTTGACCCGTATGCTATTTATTATTTCCTAATTATGTATGCTAATGAATTTTTCTCAAGTAAAGTCAGTCATCTTCATAATGTGTTTTTTGTTTTGTTTTTTTTTTTTAAAGATTTATTTATTTATTTATACAAGCACTGGGTACAGTCAGAAGCACGGGAGGGTGAGAGAATTCGCCAGAGCGGAGAGCAGAGCAGAGCAGGCAGATGAAGTACACTGCTGAGGGGAGCAGCAGGTGGCAGGAGAGGTCTGTGCGCCATGTGGGACCCTCACCCTGTGGCCAAGGATTGAACTGGCGCTGCAGAGGTTGCAGGCAGCTTTGCAACCCAGCGCTCATCCGCTGTGCCACCAGGGAGGTCCCATAATGTGGTTTTTATTAACATCTCACAGAATACAGTTTTGTACCACCTCAAAAGTTGGTGTTCATGTGATAGTCTGTGTTGATACCTTCTTCAATGCATCCATTACTTTTATTTACAGGTCACTGAGCAGCTTGGATGCCTCTTGCCTGTGACAGAAGCAGAAAGCATCAAAAACTTCCAGTATAGTGTGCAGATGGAAAAACCTTTTACAGAAGGGAACCTTTCCGGTTTTATAAATTATCAAATGATGGATACTCATTCTGTTCAGCTTGAATTTTCAGTAAATTTATCACTGTTAGATTTCATTAGGTAAATATTTTCTGAAATGTTAATTCAAGTTATTCATTCTTTAGGAAATGTTTATTAAGGCTTCATCACTGAAAAGAATCCCTGTGCTAGGTACTAGGGGATTACAATTCAAAAGTAGCCATAGTCCCTACCTTTTGGGAGTATCTAGCCCATGGAGGAAACATTGAACATCACACAAATACACATATAATTGTGAATTATGCTATGAAGAGAAAGTAAATGTTACGAGAGATTATAGTATGGGACCTGACTTAGTTGGGGTCGATTGTGGTTTTCTTGGAAAAGTTCTGAGTGAAAGAAATATTGAAAAATGTTTAAATTGAAATTGCTGTAAAGATTCTGCATTTTTAAAGCTTTTAATGTTTTTTCATTTGTATTTCATTTATATAATTATATCATAAAATCTGTTCATTAATTTTGAGATCTACAAGAAAATTACTCACCAAAGTTAATAAAATATTATTAGGCATGCATTTTTTAGCATTATGCTAGGCACTGTGCAGCATTACCGAAATAACTGAGAACAATCTCTTAACTTTTCTCTCATTTAGTTTTATGTGAATATATTGTACTGTGTTCAAGCATTTTTTAAAAGGAAGCCTGCCTGAACAATGCAGAATACCAAGAGTATCTGTAAACTTTAACTTCTGCACATCCACTGTATTATACTACTATAATTTTTGCCCACTCTTTAAAGTTTTTTAGTAAGAGCATGTCTGTCAGTCTGTCAAGGAGTATTTATGCACATGATGCCATTGTGTAAGATAAAATCCAGACTGCAAAAACTTAAATTCTGACTATGAAGATAGATCGCAAGTGAGCATTTGTAACCTGAAGAAACACAATATATATAACACAAACAGTTCTTCTGTATGTATTTTAAAAATCTTCTCTACCTTAAAATTTTTTTCCTAATTATAAAACATTAGTACTTGAAAAAATTCAAATGCTATAGAAAAAATAAGTAGAATATAAAAATTCCTATAATCACACCTAAATGTTAACTCTTCAGTCTCATGAACCAGTTTTTTTTTTTTTTTAAGATTTATTTATTTATGCATACAAGAACTGGGGTGTAAGCCAGAAGTGTGGGAGGTGAGAGGATTCACCAGAGACAGAGTGGGGAGCAGAACAGGCAGATGTACTGAAATACACTGCTGAGGGGAGCAGCGGGCGAGGCAGGAGAGATCTGCTGTACCATGTGGGTTGCTCCTGGCCATCAGGGATAGAACTCATGCTGTAGTGGCTGGCAGTAGCTTGATAGCGCTGTCTTTAACTCTTGCACCACCAGGGAGGCCCCTCATAAACCAGTTTTAACATAAATTTGTTGAAATCTTTTCTCTTGGTCTAATTTACTTAAGGTGCTAGGTCTTTGTTTTCACACTGTTGTAAAGCAGGTCCTTGAATAATATTTTTTTCACCATCATATTTTTTTAAAGATATTTTAAAAATTTTATGCATACAGGAACTGGGATCTAGGCCAGAGGTGTGGCGGGTGGGGGTGAGAGGATTCATCAGAGACAGAGTGGGGAGAACAGGCAGATCTACTGAAATACACTGCTGAGGGGAGCAGCAGGTGAGGCAGAAGAGGTCTGCTGCACCATGGGGGTTACCTGCCTGACCAGAGATCAAACTCATGCTGCTGTGGCTGCCGATAGCTTCATATTGCTGAGACTTAACCCCTGTGCCACCAGGGAGTCCCTCACCATCATTTTGTTTTTACTTTGATGGGAAAAATCAATCCTGGCAGAAGTTGAACGACATGATGTTATTGGAGCACCTGCTATTCTTACAGTTTGTTTAACTTAAGGTCTCAGTTTCCTAGAAACTGCTAATGACCCTATAGAAAATTTACTGTGTACAACTTAATAGAGTATTTAATGCTCAAATTCAAAGTATACGTGGAAGCAAATTTTTCTTTTATATTTGAATGATTCATGAAATTAAAACATGGTAAAATTTTACTGGAATGTCTAATACTCAGAAAAAGAGAAAATTGACTGATTTCTTGAAAAGACATTTGCAATTTAATAATGTTGCCTGTTTCCAGTATTTTCAGGTTGGAGGATGATGCATTCTCTTCCTACTTTAAAACAAATTTTGTTGGACCTAGATTTTCAATGATTATGTTTTATTCTCTTGGTTCATTTTAAATGTGTTTGTTTGTTTAGAATGATTTTATTCTTTGAAAATACATCTAATTTTAAAAAATTATTTTCAGACCATTAAAAATCTCGACTGAAGACTTTGGCAAACTGTGGTTATCCTTTGCAAATGATGTGAAGCAAAATGTAAAAATGTCAGAATCTCAAGCTGCGCTGCCTTCTGCCCTAGAGACCTTACAACAGAAACTAAGATTTCATGTTGTTGACATTATAGGTTGGTAATGTTCCAAAAAAGACAATCCTTGTGTAGGATTGTCTTTCTCACAAACTGAATATAACTCATTTATAAGTATGAGATTTGTTACTGTATTCTTATTATGAGAATTTTTCAGATAACGTGTTCAGATTTTATCCAGGACATTTTTTTGGTAGTAAAATATACATAACAAAATTTATCATTTTAACCACTTTAAAATGTATAGGTCAGTGGCATTAAGTACTTAACATTATTATGCAGCCATTACCAACACCATCCTAGAGTTTTCTCATCTTCCATAATTGAAACACTATGACCACTAAACACTAACTCCCCATACCCCCTCCTTCACTAGCCCTGGCAACTAACATTCTGCTTTTTATCAGTTTGACTACTCTTAGTACCGCATATAAGTAGAATCATCAAATAATTTAATTATCCTTTTGCGATTGGCTTTTTTTCATTTAGCATAATGAAGATCATCCATGTTGTAGCTTGTGTCAGAATTTCCTTCCTTTTTAACTCTGAACGTTGTTGCATTATATGAACATACCACATTTTGTTTATTCATCTATCGATGGACACTGAATTGCTTCCCTCTTTGACTATTGTGAAAAGTTCTGCTTGTGAATATGGGTGTCTAAGATCTGTGTTTGAGTCCCTGCTTTCAGTTCTTTTGGTTAGAAGTGGAATTTCTGACTAATGGTAATTCTGTACTTACATTTTGGAGAAATCGCCATATTACTTTCCACAGGAACAACACCATTTATATTCCTATCAGCAATGCGCAATGCACTTTCTCCATATCCTTACCAACACTCATCCTAATAGCTTGAATTGTTTCACGGTTGTGATTTACATTTTCTTATTCAGTGACGTTGAATATCTTTTTACATGCCTATTGGCCTGTCGGTATTTTCATTGGAGAATTGTTTACTGAAGTCCTTTTTTAGTAAGTAATTTTTAATTTTTGCTTCATTGTAGGTAATGAAGGGCTTTTGGCCTGTCAGCTGCTCCCATCCACCCCCTGCTTGCTGCATTTCCGGGTTCATGCTGATGTGGTAGCCTTGTGGTTCAGATCCTCCTGCTCTGCTCTTCCCGACTACTTACTGTATCAGTGTCAAAAGGTGATAGAGGGATCCTAGCAGAAATTCTGCTTTTATTTTATTTTATAAAAGTAAATGGTTTACATAGATAAACTTATTTACCAAAGTGAAACAAGCTCATGGTACTTCTAATGAAAATGGGGATAACTACAAGTTGTGCTTTTAAGTGTTTTCTTTGATTCCTGGTCAAGAAGGATCCCCGAGAAATTGTATCCCTAATCTTTTACTCAGGATTGTACAGTATGTTTGGGTCCCAAAAAAGTGACCTAAGCTAATGTTATAAACTGTAATTGATTTATATATCACTTAGTGTAGAGGGACTAAAAATAATTTATTTTGTTATAAATAATTTTATAGCAAATTTATCCTACTGCTAGCTGACCTGTAGGGAAGCCAACTCTTCGTTCTCTGCATTAGTGAAAGATAAACATGGAATTGATAATCCCAAAAATTGAATTCATATTGGTCTTTCGGATGTGGTATATGATTTTTGGTAGAAAGTTACTATCAATTATATTTTGCTTAAGTTGGTGTTGAACTATTTTGGCACAGCACACACTACTAATAGTTCAGGAAATCTGTGAGCATGTTGGATATTTGGGGGAAACCAATCTGATATATGATATAGTTTTTGTTACAGATACCTTATTTCACATAATTACAGATAATTTGCCTATAAAATTTGTTTCCCACTTATATTTATTTTTAAAAATCAAAGCGAACTACTGTGTTCTTACTTAAAGCCATTTACAAAATACTATCATAGAGAAACAAAACCCTTAAGAGCACACAGTACTAAAGCAAACAGATACAAAAGAACTTTTTCATTAAGTCAGATCCTTGCCACTTAGATCCTTTTGGCAAATTAGAATTTGTGATTACAATGTAAGTGGCAAAACTATCTTTCCTAGCTTTTGAATCTAATACTCACTGGATACCACTAAAGTAACTAAGTACATGACAGTAAAATATATTATTTTCCTGTTATAGTTGCATCTATGTGGCCTCTGTCAAAACTGTTATTAGCAAGCGTAAAGAGTAAGCTAATATGAATGATGCACCACACTCTTGAGATTATGCATTTAATGTTGAAAACTGAGAAAGTATTTTATAAAACTTTATGGTGCTGTGGAAAATAATTACTCACTTTTTTCTGATACTTCACCATGGAGTCTATTCAGGTAATACAGTTTAAAGTCATTGCATTTAATACTTTGGTTAATTGGTACTTTTTGCCACCTAGGTGAATTCTGGTTTTAGGTTATCTCATTAATCTTATCTGATAAAGATGGTAAGGGAATTTTCCAGAGCTGATAGATTCATTAGTCATTTGTGTCTAGAGTGTTCCTCCCTAAAAACAAAAGCAGTATTGTAAAAATTAAATTTTAAGTTGCTCATTTTAAAAAATGTAATAATTTCATGCTTTCAAAAACACAGTAAAATCTTGCTCTAAGAGCAGTGATAAGTGATTGGCATTTCCTGCATGGAAGGTTTCTCCTTTTGAATAAAAGATCTCCATCCCCAAGCTCCAGCAGTGTCATGGTAAAGGGAATGTGCTATTTCAGTGGTGGACTCTGGTGGCTAACCTTACCAGCTTCCTCTTTATTCCTACCTCTGTCAGTGCATCCCCACTCCACCTGATTTTGCTGCTACTCTGACAAAGAGCTAGGACATATTTTCTCATTTTTTAAAGGAATGTAGCATGTGGCAAAGGAGGTGCTCCAATTTTTTGTGTCCTTACTTTCCTCTGTTTGCATGGAGACTGGGTTGAGTGTGGAGAAGTGATTGTAAGGTGCGCAGCAAACAAATGGATAGTTATTTGGGAGAGGTTACCATAAGCTGTTCTGTTGCTTTGCCACAAGGGTATTCATGAGGAACAGTAGCATTTTTCAGAGAGATAGTTGACCTACAAAACTGTCTAATGGTGGGAGACATGTAATGGTAGAGTAGGACTGGAAGGAAGATTTCAGGTCTGCTAAAGAACATGGTACCATTTTTGTTCTTTTTGATCTCAACTAAATAAAAATAGGGTAATGGTTTCTACTGAAATGTTTAGTAGAATGTTTACAACTTTTATATTTTTATGATTTTAAAAACAACAGTAATAGAAAAGAAGTTTTAAAGAACTACAGGGCAGTATATATTCTGCTTAAGCTAAATTCAATGTTTTAAACTCTAAGTCAGGTATTGCCGACCTTTTTTTGCATTGTAGAAGATGTGACTATGAAGTAGGAAGAATGATTTTCATGGATAGATCAACTCCCTATAACGTGGTCAGCTAAAAGGGCAAGTCTAGAATAAGAGCTCTGGAGGGATGCTCAGCTGTGTGAATTCTATGCCAGGCGTTCTGCTGAGAATGGAGGTGGCAGCAGGTATGAATCTGAGGGAGAATAAAAAGAAGACAGGAAAGCCTTAAGGGTAGGTGAAGCAAGAAGGATAAGCCTCCCACCAAAATAGACCTGTGGAGATCAGTCTGAGGGGAAAGTAGGTCTTGAGTAAGGGTTCTTCTAAAGAACTACAGGTGGATGCTGAGCAGTCACAAGTGCGAATGTGCCAAGCATGCCAAGCACAGCATGTGCTCTGCACAGGAACGTTGTTTTGAACCATATTGTCATCTACCAAAAAACTTGTGGTGAAAATGCAGTATTTTTTTTTTTAATTTCATGTCAGTGATATTTTAAAATATTTGAACTATTTGTCTTATTTTTTTGTGGATAAATGTGGTCTTTGTCTTATGATTGTGAGCCTCTGAAAGTGCACTGAACTTATTTACATGTCTTTAAGGTGTCTTGCTGTGTTAAAATTTTAGGAGGGAAAAATGCAAGTGACTAACAACTTAAAAGGCATTAATTACCTTATTTTGCAGTTGAATTCTGTAATATGAAAAAACTCAGTTAAACCTGTAATAAATACAAAATGATCTATATTGTTCTTTGGTCTATACATTTATTATCTAAAGGGCAGAATATTAAGTAATACTGTTAGTAATTTGATGGGTATTAGCCAGAAAGAGCAGATGCAATTGGAATGGGATGAAAAGAATAATTTGCTTCTTACAACCCCAAAGAAGCTGGTCTGATCTGCTATTTCTGCATGATATTCAGGAGGAACTTTGTGGACTTCAGACAGGTGAGAGCATGGATGGATCCTCAGGATGCCTGTCCACATCCCCTGCCTTCACACTAGCCTGTCCAGGGTATTCAAAGTAAAATGTGCTTTTTCTCTAGTGCCCTCTCCTTACAGTTGCCTCAAGATGCAAGGAACATGGTAAGTCAGCTGGAGACTTAGTAACCAAAGATTCTAAGCCTCCTGGTCACCCCTGCATTGTGTATCCTAAAACACAAGCTACATCAGAAGTGGCATTTCAGTCTCAGTGATTTATGCCACTGATATATAAGTAAACTGAGACCAGGTAATACCCAGGGACTGATTTTAGTAATTCTGTGACTCTCTTAGTATAAAAAAAAATCATCTGATGCGGTTAATAGATATATTTACTCTTAACTTAGAGATGTAAGTCAGCAAACAGGGATTCTGGTGAAATAACCAGTTTGTACCAGGTGATAGGAAACACACCAGCTTGATGAGACCTTTACCAGTTTGAAGGCTAAGTCCTCTGAAAACTAACCATACAATGTGAGATCTTTTCATAAAAACAGTGTGATTACAGATAAAAATTATGACTTGGAGGAGGGGTACTTTTTTTGCATATAAAACTGCTTGTTCTAGGGTCTCCCCTGATGGCACAGTGGTTGAGCGCTGGGTTGAGAGGCTGCCCGCAGCCTCTGCAGCGCCAGTTCAATCCCCGACCACCAGCGAGGGTCCCACAAAAACAAACAAACAAACAAACAAAAAAAAACAACAAACTTGTCCTAGTATAGAAAGCAGTGGACATTTGATCAGCAAAATTAGATAGGGAGCTAAGGCTGATTTGCCAAGTAAATTAGTGTCACCTGTTTAGAAAAGTGACCACTTTGATAATGGGAGAAGACAGCTATACATTAGTAAAGTCAACAGCATCAGTAGTAGGAATAGATGTTACCTAAAAGGAAATGTGTTTCATATGTATCACACAGAAACTTGATCATAGGTGCATGGATCAAAGATAGGAGGGTACTGAAGGAGAGTCCAGAGAACCTTGAGAACTTACAAATTGTGGTCTGTTTACAGAGATGGTGGAGGGCAGGGTAGGCAAGGGTGGGGGAGCGGGGGCGGGGGGATAGAGCTGGTGATATCAATCATTGAGTTTCCTGCAGCAACCCTAATGTTGAAACAGTAGTGGGGCCTTCCAAGTGGTTGCAGCTAGATTGTGGGCGTCTTTCCTAAGAGAGGAATCAATTTCCTTTAGTTACTTTAAACTATTTTCCTATGTAGAGGAATAATTTCCTTTCCCCAAAACATTAAATTGCCAATACCACTAAATGGCTGACCTTAGTAAGTTTTCCCCTCATGGGGTCAGGCTGGATATGTACTAAATGGATAGACTAGTGCCTAGAGATTATTTGTATTCCAGTGAGAAAAGGTAATTAGAAATCTGTTTAATTGCACATCTCCACCCCTAAGTCACATGACAAGTAAAAAGGAACAGAGATGTATATAGTTGTACTGGGAGGCATTTGGTCTGGATTGCTGCCACATGAAGGTAAGGGCAAAACCAGTCACTGGAATAAGCTGTCTCCATAAGTGAGGCACAAGAATTTATTTTTTTCATCTTAGTTGACTGGTTAATGGTTGATGGAATTGATTAGAAGAGTTATTGTGAACTATAGGAAAGATGAAATGATTTAAACCCAAATTTTGAGCCCAGTCTTCATCTATGGAAGTGGTAGGAATGAATGGGCCTCCCTGGTGGCGCAGCGGTTGAGTGCTGGGTTGCGAAGCTGCCCGCAGCCTCTGCAGCGCCGGTTCGATCCCCGGCTGCTCCCCGGCCACCAGAGGAGGGTCCCACATGGCGCGCAGACCTCTCCTGCCGCCCGCTGCTCCCCTCAGCAGTGTACTTCCATCCTTCTGCCTGCTCTGCTCCCCGCTCTGGCTCTGGTGAATTCTCTCACCCTCCCGCGCTTCTGACGGTACCCAGTGCTTGTGTGTATGTATCAATCAATCAATAAATCTTAAAAAAAAAAAAAAAAGTGGTGGGAATGTTTTTTGTTATTCCAGAGGAACTTGTTAAAGTGTACTTGAGTTTATGCTAATAAGGCTACTTACAGGTGGGAGTAGGGTTACATAACCTCAGGATGGGACTAGTCTGTGGAAAGACCAAGTAGTGAGGTGGTTGAAGCTTTCAGCCCCACCCACCAACCTCTGGAAAGGTGAAATAAGAGAGGTGGCGTGGAGACTAACCTCTACAGGAACTTTTGAACAGTGGGATTTGATGAGCATCCATGTTGGTGGCTGTAGTGCCAATGAGGCACAGAGCAGGTTTTCTGTGATCCGGGCATACAGGTAAAGGAGGAGTCATGGAGCCCTCAATGGCTTTTAATGATCTTTCTCCTCCATTGTAGTGAGGCAACCAGGTAGAGGGCAGGCAAGGGAAGGGGACGGGATAGGGGGTTGGGCAAGGAGGCTGGTGAAGCCCCAGGTGAAGCTTTACTCCTGCTGGGCTCTCTGGCCTTCTGTGGTGGTCTTTTCTGCACTCCGCCGCACAGTCCTCTACCGCCCCGGTCCTCTGCTGCCTGCCCAGTATGCTCAGTCTCTGGCTCAGGTGCGCCCACTTATGCATGCCCACACCATACTCCAGGTGCCGCCGTCAGGCCTGCGTGTAAGACCACAAGTGTCGATCATAGATGCTAAAGGCAGGAGGGCAGAAAATACCTGATCACTTCCATTTACCCTACAGTGGCATACCCGTTTCATGGGAACAGAGCTCCTGAGCTTTGGACCCTTTTGGAGCTTGCAGTATTTGCCTTTTCTGGTTGTGGTTAGTCAGAATTGCATTTTACCTGGACAGATGACAACCATCCCACCCGCTTATATGTATACCTGGAGGGTACTGATAGGAGAGTCCAGAGAACTCTTCCAGGACCTGGCTTCTCTTAGAGTCATCCAGAAATTCCCAAGAAGAAAGAGTAATGAGGGATTCTTCCAAAGCCCTAAAAGCATCCATTATCCAAAATAGACATCCAATATGTCCATTTATGACTTGCCATAAATACCAGCATTAGCAATGTTTTCTTCGAGTTAGGAGTTGGCTTCATAGTGTTTTGGGAGTGAAAACATCATAAATATCTATGAATTAATATGTTATTTTTTTCTGTTCTCATAATTTACTCCAACAGAATTCTGGCCAATTTAGACATCTCCATGTAAATATACGAATATAATCATAGGAAAAAATGGAAACAGAATAAAATGAGGTCAAGTATCACATTTAATCCACAAATATTATGATAGGATTTGAAACTGTTTTATGGGTGGCTAAAGTAAACCTTTTCTGAAGCAGTGATGATGTTATGTATAGTGCCACCAATCTAAAAAGAGAAAAGATGCCTAAATATGGACTGCATGGAGCAGGCATTTTTAGAACCTCTTTTTTCTCTCTCTCTTTTTTAAGATTTATTTTTTATTTATAAACTAGCTGGGGTATAGGCCAGAGGCGCAGGAGGGTGGGAGGATTCACCAGAGACAGAGTGGGGAGCAGAACAGGCAGACAGACCGAAAGCACTGCTCAGGGGAGCAGTGGGCGTGACAGGAGAGGTCTGCTGTGCCATGTGGGACTCTCCCTGTCTGGCAATCGAACCTGCGCTGTGGAGGCTGCGAACAGCTTCACAGCGCTGTGCTCAACCCGCTGTGCCATCCGGGAGGCCCTTTTTTCTCTGGTTAATAGTACCCGTCTTGATAAATGATATAGTGGTATCTTAAAGTACTGGACCTAGCACATTTATGTACATATACATTTATATAGTCACTTTAAGACTAACAAAAGATGTTATTTTACAACACTCAATTCCCTGTGACATGTTTGGAAGTGTGCCATAAAGAAAATTCTGAAATGGAGTTTGTCCATCCTTTGTCACTAAAGGTCATTCAGGTGAAAATGAACACCTCTGATTTGACTCTATGAAGGTGTCAATTAAATTAAGGAAGCAGTTATGGAAGTGAGTTACGTATTATTCATTCTGGTTTCTAAAAATATGCCTAATGTGTGATCTATGATTCTTCTTTCCTTGGGTCTGGAATCCTCTCCTGCTCCCCATTACTTTTTCAGCTATTTGGGATTCTAGGGGACTTTTTGATTTCTAGCTGTGGTACAGGTTTGAAGGAGGCAGATTTCAGGTTGAGACACACTGTGGGGGGAGTTGGCTACTGTTTGAATGTCCATACTGAATTAGTAAATTGTTGATAGGGTAGATTGAAAAACCACTGCTTAGTGGCTTGCTGGTAAGTGACTTCCTCCAGTCTTTCTCTTAAAGGTTAGAAGTGGACTCAGTATTTCCAGGAAGGGGTGGAAGTGGAGTCTGTGAGCATATTGATATGGAGAATACATGAGACTAAGGAAATGTCTAGGTCTGGAAGCTTGGTTTATGAGGGCAGGAGATGTGGCTTTGCAGAGCAAATATCTGCTACAATTATAATATGCCTTGGAAGTAAGCTCTAACAAAAGGGGAATGAAAAAATACCTAATGTACCATTTAGTCTAAAAGAAAAAACTACCTCTTATAATCCCTTCTCTCTCAACAATACCTTAAACTAAATTTTTTTTTTTTTTTTTTTTTTTTGCTGTTATTTTTAGTGGTAGTAGCTCTAGGACTACTTTGGATAGTGAATACCAGTGACCAACACTTTTTAAATGCCTCCTGCTGGGGTTTTTTCTCTCCCATCCTGGTTTCAGTGGAAACACAGCAACCTCTGGATCCTTTTACAAAGCACAATTGGAGCATACAAAGAAAGAAGACAGTTAGGAACATTTACAAGGAAATACACCCACAGCTGCTATAAAGGATATAGGTAAACTAC